TCAGGATTAAGCTGAAGATGAACCACTTTAAAGGATAATAAGATCTGGTTATTGAATCAAGACGGTCCTAAAGGGTTTGTAAGTCTAATATTCCTAATGATTACATGGTATATTTGCAGGAATTTGATTCAGATGCTATTGATAATTTAGACCCAATATCTTACCAAAAGGCTATTTCTAGCATGCATTCTTCTGAATGGTTGGAGGCTATGAGTAAAGAAATCACTCCTATGCCCCATAATCATGTATGGGAGCTTGTAAAGCTACCAAAGGATTTTTGTCACATCTCAAAAATATGTGAGTGATCGACACAAGATATGCATTTAAACACACATATGTTTAACCTGATTTAAGAATTTTTTCCATTTTTTATACTTTTTCACTTTAATGAAGCCTTAATATTTTTGTGGGAATTCCAGAAGAGTCTTCCAAAATTCTACAATACCAATTTTCAAATAGATATTATATCAATCGAGAGTAGTTCCTTCTAGCCAATAAACAAAGTATTTAACAAAATAAATACCTTAATCATAGCTTATATGGAGCACCTAACATAATGCTTACAAAACATGATACATGGATATGAAATTTACATCAGAAGAAACTTGATCTACCAATTTCCCCTTAATGATCAAAAGAAGGTACAACACTAGCTAATGTATCTGAGACCAAAGAAATAATTTCCAATGAATAACGTCTTAAGTTTAAGTTGAAGAAAAATTAATGGGAAAAACATCAATGAGACAATTCTAAATTTAATAAAATAATTAAATATAACAAAAATAAATATCTTATAAATCAACAGCTATGTATATGTGTAAACCATGAATGTGTGAATTTAGATAAAGATTATTAGAAATTCAAGTTTTATTGCTAGACTAAATTTATGAGGGTAATTAACCAATCAAGCGTGGACACACAGTTCATGAGGGTAAGTAAAAGCGCTACTTGAAGCTATGAAAACAAGTGAGAGCAAAAAGTTCACGAAATCAAGCACAGGCACAAAGCCCATGAAAACAAGCGTGAGTACTATGCTCATGAATAACCATCCCTTCATTCTATGTGTGTTGGCTATCACACGAGGCTAACACCCTGCTAACTAGGTTATCATGGTGCGTTAAGGGCTAACGGTACTGTCGTTAACAATCAGCGTTCTAATTCAACCCCACATTTTAAATTAAACATGCATGAGCCAATAAAATCAATATACTCTCTCTTTTCAACATTTCTCATCATGCTCAGCATAATTGAATTCATCTGTATATATCCCATGTATGAATTTGACAATTAAATTGTTCTTTAAACAAAAAATCAACATTTCCAATATAGTAGATACTTTAAAATATTCAATTGAAAGATAAACCCAACTATTTCTTTAAAATATAACATAATATAATATAATAAAAAAAACATTTTCTTATATGACAGTTGATAATAAATTAAGATTATGAACCAAAAATAGATAAATTAATTAATTAATTAAAACACTTTATTATTTGTGCTTGTGAAATAAATAAAAAAAATATCAATAAAAGAGATGACACATGAATATGGGAAATTAATATTTTTAAGAAATTGAATTTGCAAAGAGTCATTGAGACGCTATTCATTTACCTGATAACTCCTAAAATAATAATTTGTTCTTTCTAAATACCTCTCCATTTTCCTTTAGCTACGCTATTACCTAAACCAGAAGAACAAACAACTTTCTTTAATAAAAACTCCAATTTATATATTTCTAAATGACATTCATGAGCCCAATATATAATTTAGAACATATTTAAAGTTCTCAATCCTTATTTGTCTTTAACTCACCATCTGTATTTAAAAATTATATTCTTCTTATTCCTTTCTCCCATCTATAATGATACATTCATCTCGACCATGCCTCCTTCCCTTAATAACCAATAAATGATTTATTCTTAAGGCTCTTCAATAATTCTTCACAAAGTATACTTTATTCAACACAGTACAATTTCTTACCTTACACAACCACAACTGATCTTATAACACCTTTAATTCAATATCATAAATGTCATCAAGTATAACAAATTTCTTTCTTGTTCCCTTGTGCTTCAAGACCCAAACTAATCTAGCAATTTCAAAATTTCACCTAACATGTTCAAATTCTAACATATACACCATTAAGCCAACTTCTTGATTTTCCAAAGCTTCATCATAAAAAATAATTAACTTATTTTGTCAATCAAATTCCACAATAAGAATCAACTTAAATTCAAGGGGGAAAACTCAACAAACCATCTTCATTTTATTCAAATTCCTCTCATAATTCAGGCATATGCAAGATCAGAATATATAACAAAGGAAAATTTACAATCTCAGCCGCATAAACATACTCGCAAAACACATATTAACAAATTCATATATTAACGAAAAACCAAGTGACCTAAACATTAAAATTTAACTAGGATTAACTTGGTCAAGTTTAAGCACTCATTTATATAAAAATTTTCACTCAAACATTCTATCAAACACTTTATGTGCGAGAGAAAAAATTAATATAATGCTTTCCTTAATTGTCTATCCAAGCCACATATAGACCTCAACAAATCTTCTCCCAGAAACTCATATCTATTAATTATTATCTTTCTCGTAATACTAAGAATGCCAGCTTAAATTATCATCCCTGCTCCACATTTACAGCAGCAGAAAAGAACAAGAATCACCATCTACATCATAACACATACACACACATACACGAAACAAGAAGAAAGAAAATGATTTGAAGCTTCTATACCTCATAATGCCAACTAAAGACAAAGAAAGGAAGGAGAATCCAAACTCACGCTAAACAAAGGAGGGAAGAATTCTGGTTATTGTAGCAATGAAGAAAGAAAGAGAAGAGGCAAACGAAAACCTCCAATAGCAGCAACTCGAAACTCCTTCGTGCACTATCTCCCTGGCAGCTTAGGAAATTGGCTGAAAGAGAGCTGGACTTGCAGAGGAAATTGGCTGGAGTGGAAGCATGGCTTGTTGGTGAAGCTTGGGACATTGCTGGATGGGGAAATCTGAAAAATTTAAAGGGCTTACAAGATGTTAGGGGTTAAAAATGCTCCAATAGATTTATTTTTTAAAAAATAAATAAACACCTAAAATATAAGCACATTCGATAGCATTAATTATAGTAAACACTCCTATAGGTGCATAGCATGTGAGAGCACTTTCAAATACACACACACTCACATGTTGTGGGTTTTATTTTATTATTATTATTGCATATATGGAAGCTATTTTTGGTGGAAAAGCCCTAGCAGAATATTGCCCACCAGAATAATTTTACCTTGAAACACTTCAATATGTTCCACCTCATCATTTTAGAGCATTTTTAAGTGAAAATGCTCCGATTTAGGCACTTCAAAAGCTTGTTTTTAGAGTAATGTTTATAAGAGAGTTTTATAGATATTGTCATAATACAAAGTTTATTTATTATGTCGTTTATTGTTTATTTCATGTCTTTTATATAGGTGCTTTCCTATAAAATATGTGTGCATATTTTCTTAATCTATAAAAAGAATTATTCAATTTATTTTTGTTTGGTCATATTTTATTCTGAAAGCGTCTCAAAGACACCATGGAAGTTAACATATAGCATTAGCTCTAGGTAACCATAGTTACATACGGATTGTTACAGTGGTTAACATGTTTTTCTTGAGCGATCAACTTTTTTTTTTTTTGGTTGCTAAAAAAAATTGGATGAATTGAATTCCAGAGGTTCACCAAACGTAGAAGCCCAAACAAGAAAAGAAACTAAACAATCAGATGTGGGCTTGGAAGGCCCTATCTCTACAATCCACATAGACCCCATGGGTGAATCCTGTAAATTGTAATAGATGGACGTTCTTTTTTGCAATTTCATTTTTTCAGCAGCTCCTCAAGCCTTCTTGCTTGAGCGATGGAAAAATAGTTTTCCCAGATTTTCCCTCAAAAAATTTTGGCATCAAACGAGGAGATTTTGAAACTGAATTCTATTTTTGCTTCTCATCATTTCTTAAGCAAAAATTTCTACATATTTAGTTGTCACTGAGAAAATAATTTAAGTATGTTCGGGCAGACATAAATAATTTCAAATATCATTTAAGTTTTATATTACTATTAGAGCTGAGAAAAAATAATATAAAAAATAGAAACATATGAAATTTATTTCACTCACTTTTCTCTCTTTTTTCCTCCCTATTTCAAAAATCCATGAGTAGACTTTCGAATTCTTTGATTACTAACTGTACTAATTGATTTTAATCATCTGTTAAATTTTTTTTTAAAAAAATAAAATAAAAAGGAAGGAAGAAAACCGACTCAACAATAGGTAGTTCCTTTATTCCGTTAAATTAACTAACTGCAGGAGAGTTAGGCGCTGTGCCAGAAAGAAAAAGAAATTATAGTCGCTTAAGTACAATGCCTCGTGTTTAATGATTTTTATTAGAGAAAAATAATCATTTGATTCATATGATTTTAATTTAATTATACTTCAACCCCTAAATTTTAATTTCATAGATTATTATAGTTTTGACATAATTTAAATTCAATTCCTAAACTTTAATCCAATATAACATAATTGAAAGTTTTAGCAATTTTAAATATTAGTCCTTAAATTTTAAAAAATAATTTTAATCTTTATAATTTTATTTTCTAAAATATAAAGACTAATATTTTAAATAATTAAAACTATAAGAATTGAATTTTATCAAATTAAAATTTAAGAATTAAGTTTTAATGAGTCAAAACTATTAAAATTAAATTATAACAAGTTATAATTCAAAAATTAAAACTATAGAAAGCAATGATTGATTTTCTCCTTTTATTATTAATACTTTTGGCAGGCAATTTTCTCATTTAAAAGTCATTTGTACTCTTCACATCTCAAAGCTCAACAAGTTTTCTTGACGTGATGATAGCACCAGCATGTCCTCAAAGCCTCCAAAGATGGAACTCTTCACGCTCTCCAAAATCCATATTCTAGTCTTACAATCAAGGCTAAAATATGACTAATGCAACAAGAAACACGTCTCATTGTATTTAAATTTAGGCATAAAACCCTACCAAAACAAACTTAACATCCCAATTATATATGTACACGAAGGATTCTTCTACATAACCAAGACAAATATGATACAGTTGATGTGAGGTACAGTTTCATTACAATAAACTTCTAATTCCTACTATATGCTTGAGCAAAAAGCATATACGCTGAATTCATTCAATTATCATGCAAGATGTGTAGAATTTTCTTAATGGCCCATTATGAAAGAATGATTACTTCCCAACATCATAATGCAATTAGTCAAAAGATAGCAGCCACATTATTTCCATACTTTTTACTGCAATTAGCTATGTCTTAAGCATAGTGAATTGACAGATACTAGTTACAAGCTAGCAGCCAAAATTGAGGATGTTTCCTGGTGAGTTAAGCTGTCAGCAACATGAGCAATCACTCCTGCCCCTGCATTGTGAAGCCATTCATTTTTCACCTGAAATTACAGAAGCACCCAAGTCAATTACGTTATCACTAAAATCAACATCTCTGACAGGAACATCAAGTGGTTGCAGTACATGAATGTTGTTATGAGCAAAGAAAGGCCAAAATGCTGAGTGAAAGCTGACATCAACTTTTTTCCATCCCAACTTCTGTAAACCACGTATCATTTCCTCTGTTAAAAAGATACAAAGTAGCTTTAGAAGTTGGACAACAGTGACACCACTTGCAGTTTATACATCTTCAGCAATTCTTCGTAAAAATAGTCACCTTCCATAATTTCATGATATTCCACAGTATTCTGGGTACTTGGTGCATTTTGCACTGCCTCCTTTGCTTTTACCGCCTCCAGAGGAAATTGAGGGCCATCAGAAGGTACTGGAGGGCAGTATTCCACGTCAACAACATGCTTGTATCCAACCAAAGATCGGCGAGGAGGCTGCCAATCAACAAAGACAGTTAGAACTTAGAACCCCATAGACAACAGTAGACACATTTCTCTCACCTTAGCGTTAAACAATCACGCCCCAAAGAACTAGGAAATGAACGCCACCTACTATGGTTTAAACTACAGCTAGCATAAATTATGGATGAAATTAACTCATGACAATCTATTAAATTTTTCAACAATGTCTTGATATTTTATTTAGGCCATAAACTTCAAATGTTATACTGAAATGCAACCTGTTAATTTTCTAAAACCCCATAAAAGTTGTCCCACAGGCAATTGTGCAATTGAGTTTGCAAGTGATGGGCTATATATAAGACAATAAGAGCATCATGAAAAAACTCTAGATATATGCATCAAGACTGCCACAAAAAATCTCACCATTCAGATTGCCAGGCTTTCAACTGGTTAGGGTAATAATATCCCTGAAAATCCTTCTTGGTGTTTACTCTAGCTTAACCAAATATTTAAATATCTATCTTGCACAATTTACTTTAAATATCAATACTCAAAGAAGAAGAAGAAGAAGTAATATACAAAAGGAGAAATTATCATATTCACCTTACCAAGTTCCGTTTCCCTCCTTATAGAAGATGTGCGCCACCCAACCATATCTAACATTAGTCAAAGAAAAATAATGAAACTGAAAACGAGAGAGATAACAGATTCATCAAGCTAAAATTGGCGGGCCGCATTTAAGGAAAGATACCAAGAGGATACGATCATAAGATACATTAGCATAAACAATGCGACATCTAAAGGATCCAAGTGCAGATCTGCAAAACAGAAAACCTAGTTAACATTGAATTAAATATCACTCAACTAAATCAGAACACATGGCCACATAAGGACAGAAGTATTTGCTTGCTTACATAAATTTTCCACCTTCACAATCAGAAGCCATTCTCAAAAGAAGAGGTGGTCTATTTGGTTTACCATCAGTAAGGAACAGCTGACTACCAGTCCGTCCAACAAAAATTGGAGCTATTGGAGCAGCAAGCTTTTCTAGGATTGGGACACCCAAAAGAAATGGAAGCTGAAAAATAAACTTGGTAAATAGTCAAACCTGAAATAACACGTATATTTTTCATAAAATTTAATAAAGTGCATGGGAAAGGAAGTGGAAGAGTATAACATGGATGAAATTGATGTGGATGGCTGGAGTAAGGATAGTTTGGTTATTGACTTCATTAGGTTTTTCTTTTTCTGGTTCACCGCAATCTGTTAAAATTATTTTCTGCCCAACATTATCATTATTGCAAAATGATATAGTTGACACGTCCTACTTTAAATTAGTCATACAGACAGAGTGTTTTCCTCTATTCTTCACATTCTTTCTCTCTATTTTCTAAATCTTATATAGCTATACCCAAAAAAAAAAAAAAATCTAACATAGTTGCATCTACTTAATATTGAAATAAAAGACCCCCGTAAATAAATAAACAATAGAATTAAGAAAGCAAAGCTGATTTTCTGCAGAGCCATAAATTGGGAAAGAAAACACTTCTGTCAAATATAAGCACAGGACTAATAAAGGCAAAACCAAAAAAGAAAGATATTTCACTGGAAAGTGTATCAGGTGATGCCGACAAAAAATGGAGCATTGGCTGTCATGCAAAACCAATGTATGAATTTGGTTAAACCATAACATAGGGAAATTAAATCAATTTGGAAAGAAAAGTAAGGATAGAATGTATAAGAAGAGCACAAGAGAAAAAGCAGGGAACACATATAAAAGAAAAAAGAATCAGAAACAAAATGCTAAGGTGCATCCTAGATGTGCTTAATGATGAGTAAATAATAGGGTTTCTGTTAGTCCAAATCGCCCTTGATAGCACTAAACCCTAAGATGTTTAAAAGAAAAGGCAAATGTTTGACATTTTACATAATTTTTACATTATCAGAAAATTTGTTACAAAAGAAAAATGAAAAAAAAAATGCTTCAGCGGAAAAAAGGGGTGACTTGACTTCATTTCACATTTGCAATTTTAACGGTATAGTGTAGTTTTTCCCCTTCTGGCTTCACTGTGGCCTTCAACTCATGTTTCTTTTAGGGAACTTCTGGATTTCTCAACGGACAAAAAAGCTCTTGATCTAATGTGTTTTCATTAACATCATCTTATCCTATTAAATAAAGCCACATGAAAATTATAAAGGAAAGAACAGCCTCAAAGCACTAGTTCTGAGACCAACCAAGGCACCAGGAAGCATAAAAGGTGCTTTGCTGATTGAATATGAAGCCAAACTAGAAATAATATAAGCAACGGCCAATCATAAAAGAACAGAAGTGCAACGGAATCACAAGGAAAAACTAAGATGGCAATAAGTTTTTTTTAATATTAAAAAGAAAAACAGCAGCTTCATGCACAACTGAGATAGAAGTCCACCATTTGCCAACAACAATATTCCTATAATTATAATTGTTCAACATAGACCTGATTTTTTCCCCTGACACCAAGATGTGGAGTTGCTAAGGTTATGAAATTGATTGGCTCTAATCCAGCAATCAACCTTCCCCTTGAAAAGCCTTTCCTCTGTGAACTCTCCGTCTTGCAGTTTTCTAGATCATCATGTTGGTCACAATTATTGGCATCGGGTGAATAAAGAACAGCAATGGCATATCTAGCAAACAGGCCACCTAGAGAATGGGCCAGAAAGGAAATTCTTTTCAGAGTCTTGGTCTTTTCTACAACCTGCATGACCTGTATATGACTTGAATTAGTCCATTCAATTCATCATAACCAATGACGTCAGGAATTTCAAAATTTAAACAAGTATATTTAAGGACTCACTTCATCAGCCAATCTCTTGCCAGCTCCATCTATTCCAGTAAATGTCTTAGTGTAAGTGTTTGATGAACTCACTGCAAACACCAAAATACTATTAACGACTTCAGTTCAATCATTAACTTCTTTTGCTTTTGGCATACACAGATGAGGCACTCAAAAAATTAAAATAAAAAGTTTATACACTATCAGCACAATTACTGTCATTACTTATAGCTTAGGCTTACCTAACTGCTACAAATAGACTCTCTATTTATTACACTGAACAAGTTCAGCATATGGTTTTGCTCGCCAGATGAAGCATGGAGGGAGATATCATGTGAGTTGGTTTAAATCAGTGAGCTGGACTTACTGAGTCCAGCAATTGATCATACATATTATCAATTATTCTCTTCAATTCTTTGACCATTTTATATGCATCGCATGTGATTTGTTGATTGTCCATGAACTTTAGAAAAACCATAACTTTGTAATGAAACAAGGTTTTCCACAAGCATGCTAATATTTTATCATTAATTTAAAATGAATAATCTCAGGGGGAAAAAAAAAGGCGCACCCACAAGCACAATGTTTGTGTTCGCTTATGTGTGTTTGTAATATAATATATATAATGTACAAAAGTACAGAACTTCAAGTAAAAAGGATTTTACCATAAATTAAAAAGTTTTTCCCAAGACGCCTTTTCAATTCTGCTTCTGCGTAAATCCAGTCACTTGGACTGCAACAGTTGAGTGTTGAGGCGTAAATCAGTAAATTGTAACTGAATTAAATAGGAAAAAACAGAAAATGTATAGACTATGGAACTTCTCCAATATCAATTTTCATACTGTGAGGTTATACATAAGCATATTATTCACTGTTTGAATCAAATCTAGAACTACTAAAAATGGAAAAAAGCTCAACTAATAAAAAACATGTCATCCACTTGACAGAGGCTTTTCTTCCAGCTTTCATTATTAGACTGAGACCCTCAAGCAATTAATTCTCTACTTTAAAGAGACACGCAACCAAATGGGAAAAATACTTATTCAAGGTACTGATGGGCCTTCCAATAAATGGGGCCCTGTGTACCAATAGAAGCCCAGAAAGAAATCCCAAGAACAGGGCAAAGAAGGGCAGAACAGCAATGACGCTGGAATAACGATTTCTGACAGGTCAGAGTAGTGGGGGTGTATAAAAAGGGGAGGGAAAGAAACTTGGTAGGCAGGTTGTAGTATCAGCTTTGGGGAGAGGGCATGGTCTCTTGAAAACCAAGTGGTGTGAGGTTTATTTCCTTGTTTTGCTCTTGTTCTTGTTTCTGTAGTGTGTGAACCAGAATTAGTGATTGTATTCTCTACATTTTCCACATCATAACAGAGGATACTCAGTGCATATTCCCCTATCTGTTGCATTATTTTCTGCTGGCCCTACTAGATACCCAAATAACAATTACATTTTAGTAGAAACCGATTCTGAACACTGTAATGATGGAATAGCATTTGACCAAAGAAACTTTCATATTTTACTTGAGCTTTGATTTCAAGGATGCCAATAGAAAAGTGGCAAAATCACTTTATGCTGCAGAAATACTGATTGGTGGTAATTAGTTTTGCTTTCACAACTATTCTCTCAGTCATATATACACATCAATTTTAAGGACACAGGCTTCTATTTGTGCATCAAAAGCTGACATCTATAGCTCTAAAGGAATAGGAGTCGTTGCATATGAACTCATTAGGAAGCTAATAAACTAGAGTGCTTTCAGAGCCCTAACCAACAAGACCTGCTATTGACATTCACATTATAATAATATAGCTATAGATCAATGAAATAAGTTATTGTTAAAAATGAAAACTTCAATTCATTTTCAGCCAACTTCAATATGCCATTTAATCTTAATAGTATAGAGCACATTTCTTTCACTTACCACTCACAATAATACTTACTTTCACCAAGATTTGACGAGAGGATAAATTTAAAAAAAAAAAAAAATCATAGTCTAGGTAAAATATACCTGGCCAAGATTCCATGAACAAGAACAAGAAGATGATCAGGGTCATTCTTTGAATTCCCAATGCTTCTGTCTAGAGACTTTCCCTGGGTGGTGGTACTCATACTTTGAGCTCGAAGGCCCTGGTGTCTCTGTCCACTGTTTGTGCCTGCAAAAGTTAATCTATCCATCTCAGCTCTAACTACCTTTACAAAAATTAAAGTATGAGTTACTTTCCACCAATATTAGCAATTTATCTTCCTCAGAAAATTAGAAGACATAAATTTATAGAGAAAAGAGGGAGAGCAACCCATGGAGCAAACCTCTATACTAAATAAAAAGGGATCTAGACACATGAATCAGAGTCCTAAATGATGACTGGTTGTAAACTCTATTACAGGAACAACATAAATAAATTAAAGGAAAACATAATTTTGGATCCTCGTACTTTAATCGCATTTTGCTATAAATCCCTAAACTTTTTTTTTAGTATTCTAGATCCCTACACTTTTATTTTTTAATGTCCTGGGTCCCTCTAAGGTCCCTATACTTTGTTCATTTAGAGACCTGAAACATTGAAAAACAAAAATGTAGGGATCTAAAACACCGGAAAAAAAGTGCAAGGCCCTACAACAAAACACGAGCAAAGTGCAGAAATTCAAAATTATATTTTCCCATAAATTAATGCTGCTAAGAAATCAAATCTGCACATATCTTTATTAAGGATAAATATTTAAGGAAACAGACTACATGAAATGAGTGGTATTTGCACCTATAATATAAATTGATATCAATAAATACTCATACCTTCTAGATTCTGAGTCTAAAAAATCCGTTGCCCACAAAAAGATATCTGCTCTGTTCTTTCTCTAAACTAAACCAATTACACTTGAATTTAACTCAACTTTCTCCCCCTGATGTATCATGTCTAGTGGGCCATCATTTGGAGGACTAACAATTCAAACTACAAAAGGCCTAAAGTATCTTTCATCCAAAGAGAAATCCTTCTCAACTCCACCAGTATATGTCACTTATTCGAAAACCAAAATCTGCAGTACCACTACAAATGTCACATACCTAAAATGCCAAAAGTGGCAACTTGTTATACCAGTGGAGTTTACACGTTTCAGGTATTTGCTAAACTCTCTGAGTTATGTACCCAAATACTTACTCTATATAAGTGGTTTATTCTTTCAATTAAATAAAATAACTTTGTTCGTGAGCTCGGTCCCAAAAGCAATGTCAATGTCTGAATGAAAACAGAAGATGACAAAATAATGGGTCGGGGGATTAATCCTACAGAAGTCTTGAGAACGATTTCTGACATGTGAAGTTTGTCCCACATATTGTGAGGAAGATCTGTCTGAACTTCAAATCAACATCAACTTAATTTCAAGAATCTTAGTTATAGACTTATAAAATCCAACATTGGTCCCTAAAGAACCATCAGATAGAACAAGACACGATCCAGGGATCCAAATAATACGGAGATAGCCATCCCAAGAAAGAAAAACAGGAGACTCCAATTAAGGCAAGAACATTCGGGGAATAGCAGACCTATAATATAACACCTATTTAAAATTAAATGTCCCGTCACTAAAAGAACCAAGAACAATTTCAGGGATTCCGATAATACAACGGCGCAACAAATATACCCAATTAGTAAATACGTTGACATGATAAAAACCAATTACAGTTTTGAGAGTTTAGAATCAGAACTAGGTAAAAACGAAAGAAAAGTTACCAGAAGGGAAACTCAAATCGGAGTTGGAAGGTGAGGAAGAAGAACAACACGGCGAGGACGAAGATGATCCATGCGAAGACGATCCTATAGGTCCTTGTTGACAGACATTTTTGCGACAAACAATTCGAGGAGGATAACCACACTGCGCGCGAATCAATGGGACTGTTGCCATATATATACAGAATAATTCCGTAACGCCACAGGCAGAGAGAGAATGACCCAAATCCAAATCCTTAGATTCTGTCGTTTAAGGCACAGGATTACGTAGGCGCCATAATAAATTTTATCGTCTGGATCAGACCTCTATGCACTCAAAATCCGCCCTACTTTTTCCACTTATTCTTCCGTGGCCAGTTTGAATTCCGCAGTGATGACTGAGAAGCATGATCTCAAAACGGCAAAACGTATGAAGTTGAACGAGCTAGCTGAGTGAGTTAAGACGTCGCGGCTGCACAGTGCACAGTGCAAATCTGGAGCTTGTTTGGTTCTGTTCCTATCTTAACAAGTTTAGGGGGCAAAATTTTTCTTATTTAAAAAACATTTAAATTAATGAAACAAAGTGAAACAACAATTTATGTTATTAACATAATTATTATTAAATAAAATATCATATCTTCTATCATTTCTCTAATTTTGCATAACAAAAACTAATAAATTAAACTTTTAATTTTTTTTTTGGATAAAGGTACAAATTTATCGTTGAACTTTTTCTCCAAAAATGCCTAATATTCTAAACTTTTGTTAGGAGCAATGTTATCCCAAAACTCTCAAAAATGGTGCAATATTATCCTGCCATTAGAGTTAACTATTTGTTACTATTTTGTTTGACTAAACTTGCCACATAGCTACCACTTGGCATTTTTTAAAATTAAAAAAATGGTAAAATGTGTAAATTTATCTTGAAACTTTTCCTTCAGGGTGCTTAGTATCTTGAACTTTTTTTTTTTGAGCAATATTGTTTTATTGTCAGAGTTGACTGCTTTGTTTCACTTCACTTACCATGTGTCATTTTTTAAAAACTAAAAAAAAATAAAACAATGCTTCATTCTTGTCAACTTCTTCTTCTTCATCCACAACACTAAGAATGCAAAATAACTCAAAACACTAAAATGAAAAATCAAACTCAGATTTTCAATATCAAAAAGCAACCAAAAAAAATAATCGAACCCAAATTTTAAACATCAAAAAACTATTAAAGACAGGGGGTAGAAAGGAATAAAAAAAGAACACAACTCAAAAACCCAACAATTCAAAATATCCAAAAAAAAACAAGAATAAAAAATTAACAACTTAGATTGTCTAACACTAAGTAAAGAGAAGTAATAACTCAATGGGCGACGACTATGGGGCTTTTTATTTAGCTCTTGTCTTGTAAATGCCGAAAGTGGAGGAGGGAGGAATGAAGATAAGAAGAATGGTCGACTGTAAAGAAAGGAGAGTGATATGCAATTGAGATACAAGAGGAAGAGGATGGCATTTTTTTTAATATTTTTTAAAATGCAACATGGCTACCACTTGAAAAATGAAGTCAAACAAAATGGTCAACTCCGACAACAGAGCAACATTACACCATTTTAAAGTGTTTTAGAGCAACATTGATTCCAAAAAAAAAGTTGAGGATACTAAGCGCCCCTATAGAAAAATTTTCAAGGTAAATTTGCACTAACAAAATGGTCAATAAACGGTCAACTCTGACAATAGGGTAATATCGTACCATTTTTTAGAGTTTCGAGGCGACATTGTTCCTAATAAAAGTATGGGATATTAGGCGCCTTTGAAGGAAAAATTTAAGAGTAAATTTGCACCTTTATCTTTTTTTTTATTTTTCCAAACAAATAACAGAAAACACGCTTTTAAACAGATTTTTTTATTTTTCAAAATAAAAAAAAGTTCTGAAAATAGATAATTGAATAGGTTTTTTTTGTTTTTTCAATCTTTGATTTCCTCGAATATTATAAAATATTTTTAATGGAACTATATTCAATAAATTAATTAATTATTTTTAAAATTATATTTTTTTATATTTATATTTGTTTAATAAGATGTCTCAATTAAAAAATATTATTAATTACACATCTAATTAAGAGAATATTTAGAAAAACTTCATTAATTCTACTTTTTTTTTGTTAACATTAATTGTATCTTGAAAGATATAAAATGTTTTATATTTTTAATCATTCTATCTTTAAAAAAATGATTATATTTTTGAATAAAAACAGTAAGTTTTTCTATAAATTTGAAATTTAAATATTCGTTATTAATAGTGTTAAATATTTTAAAAAAATTCAAAGCATTGACTTCTAATTATTCTCTCGCTTCCGAACACACACAGATTTTCAAAAGCGAAAAGCAACAACAACGATGATTCGCCCAAAATTGAAAAGAATAATAATAATAATAATAAAGAAACTAGGAAAAAGCAATTTGACAAAATGATTTTCATGAATCAGAACATGTCCATGGAATGACCATAATATTGTTGAAAAATAAATAAATAAGATAAAATATAAAGTTGGAAAAATTTCACTAAAGACCTTGGTTGGACCATACTTGTTAAAAAAGGAAACCCTTAAATTTCTAACATGTCATTGTTAGTTAAAAGTATTGATTTGATGTTAAATTTTATAAAAAAAATAACAATATTGCCCCTCATTGAGAGAAAAGAGACACGAATGTAGATATACCTCCATAGCCAAATATGAAACTCTCTAAGACTTGAATTAGGGCGTTTGAGGATCAGTGACACCTTCATCGATAGAGACAAATATCTTCAAGACTTGAACTAAAAAATCAACTTTTATATATAATTAATTACAAGTGAGGATTATTCATCATTATTACAAATCTTAAAATACAAAAAAATAAAATAAAAATAGAGATCTGAATCTCTCTAGGACTTGAACTAAGGTATTTGAAGCTCTACGATACTTATGTTGCTAGAGTTCTTGCCTAAGAATCATTTGACAAAAGAAGAACCATGGATAACGTGCGAAAAACTGCTACAAGCTCAAGATAGAGAAAATGTACCTACATATTGATATGTCTCTGCTATACCAGTATGTGTAGTTCATACCCCAAAGTTTCTATTATATCAATGACTTCTTAGTCTTTATCAACCTCTGTCATACTAGTATGTTATTTTGCTATCGGTATGAGTAATTCATACCCTAATGATTCTTAGATATCGATAAGTCTCCTCCTTTCTCCTTAGTTGTTCATTCTAGTATGTACAAGTTCTACAAGTATAAGTACTGGTTTCATGTTTGAATGACTTATGTGTCACCCTATGGCAGTTGTTAATTCCTTATCGCACTTGTTTGTTACAACACTAATTTGGAAGAGTTTCAAGTATTGATTTCATACTAGTAGAACATGCTCATACCAATAGGGTTTCATATTTGAATGACTTGTTCATCACTCTAATATGTGTGGCTAATTATCTTATGATAGTTATTAATTTTCCTACCACACTTATTCATTACAGCACTAACTTGAAAGAATTCTAAGTGTTAGTTTCATACTGGTAGAACATCCTCATATTGGTAAGGTTTCGTGTTAAATTCCTTCCCAAACTCTATCAAGGGAGATCATGGGGTAGGAACTCTAGAGATGGAGGTTTTGTTGATCTTCAGATGCACTAGTAGTTCAAGTATTGGAGAGAAGTTTGGGAAGCTTCACTATATGCATCTTCTGACTTTAGAAGCCAATGATCCATGGTAACCTCCAGTCAAAAAGCATCCTTTTAGATCACAATTACCAACCATACATCTTGGATTTTAGTCTTCACCTTGTCTTGAATCCTATGGTTTGGCCACTAAATGTTCGAAGCCTCAGCTGTGATGATCGGCCATACATTTGATTTCAAAGTGTCCTTCAATGTGTAGAGAGGCAAGGACAATCTTGTCTTTTTTTTACTAAATTTTAATTTCAATTCAATACCTCAGACTTGCAGTGAGATTTTAGAAATTGCAGTGAGGTTTCAAAAATTTAAGAACTTCCTTTTTTACTATGTCTAGTCTAGGAGTCCTTGGTGAAATTTTTCCTATAAAGTAAAGATGTAGAAAAATAAAGTGAAAGAAACTAAAAGAATATCAGAGTGATGATAATTCATATGATCTATGGGATAAAAAAGTGCAAAAATGAAAATAATAAGTTAAAATAATGCTAGGATGGTGATAGTTCACGCAGTCCATGAGCCAAATTTTAAGTGAAATAAACTTAGTTGCTGATAATAGCAACAACAACAATAACAAATCTTGATATAAGCACTACATTCAATCTTGACATAACATTAAGAGTAATTAAAGCCTAAACTATTGGGTATCTCCCTCTCTAAGGCTTCTACCGAAGGCAAGGATGTCAATTCTATACTTTTTATTTATAGTTTCCTTCTTGTTACTGTTTTTGTTTGGTTTTGTTGATGGATTGGCGGTCCATCAGCTAAAAAATAATTAAATCATAGGAGAGCTTTTGTGATGTCTCTTGTTTAGTGGTGATTTTGATTGTGATTGGTTAGATTTGGAGCAAGCTACTTGTTCATATTTACAATGGCTCTTGTCGGCTCTTTAAGGTGGTGGTAAATTTGGGATGCTCATGATAGGTATCTCCTAATCTATCGGACAAGGTTTTATGGTGCTTGCTCAATGTCCTTTTTTTCTTCTTCCTCTTATTGGTTCTATTTGGCCAACTTTCATGGTTGCATGTACTGCTTTTGGCTTCACTCATGGTGGCTCTTCTTCAACCTTATTGGTTGTTTCCTTAAAAGGGGCAGTACCTTTTGGGTGGTTCCTTGAACCCCAACTCCTTATGGCTTTGTTGGTTGTTTTTGGCATGTTTTCTTTTCTATGGATTCTAGTGGATCGACAGCAAGAGTTCTTGTGGTGGTGGCGGCAGTTTGGACCCCTTTATTATGCTGCTTTGGTTTGGGATTTTTGTATGCTTGGTTCCTTAGTCTTGTGAGTTTTTAGTTTCTAGACTGTTGCTTATCTTTGTACTTGCTTTCTTTGTTGCTGATGATGGATATACTTTTCCTCTAGTCTAAAAGAAAAAAGAAAAACTTGACATAACATTGCTTTTAAGTTTTCTTGATAATTTTTCATCTTCGTTCTTCATTCTTTTGACCAACAATTATGTGAATAGAATGAAAAATATGAATTACATATTATTATATCGTGAAAATTAAATCTAAATTCATAATTTTTTATAATGATCTTAAATTTTAAATTGAACAAAATTTTTTTCTTAATGAATATTTTATTTAAATAAATTTTATAGCAATTAGAAAAAGGATAGTTTATAGGAATTTATGGTAGAAACTTTCTCAAGGATCCAAAGTTTAAAATTTTCTAAGTAAAAGTTTGATTTTAAATTATAAAAATTTTTCGTGCCTTTCTTGTAATTGTTTTGTGCCGTTTTTTGAGATTTTATTGTGCTCTTTTTGTAATTTTTCCCAACGTTTATTTGGATCAGATTTTGTTTCTTCCGTGCGAAGAAAAACAAAAACAACAAAACAGAGCATTCCTTTCATTTTGTTTCCACCGCCATTACCCTCCTTTGCTTCTTCATCATCGACCCATTCCTCTTATTTTTCTCCTCAATCTTGCTTGCATATCTTCAACCGATGCTCCTTCAATGTTGTTCGTCCGTGTCTGTACAGCAAAGAGATTGGGTATTCTTCCCCGTTTCTGCTCTGTTTCATGACTGTTACAGCTGTGTGTGCATGTTCGGTTTTATTTTTCTTCGTTCTCAGCTATTGAGGTCTCGTGTGGGTATGTATGGTGGTTGATTTCCTTTGTTTGCTGGCTTGAATTCTGGTCTCCTTCCTCCTCATGGCTGTTACAGATTGAAGCCCTTCTCTTCTCCTTCTTCGACGTAGGCTGCCTGGATCTCTTCTTTGTTATTCCATCGCTGTTGTGAGGCTAATAGAGCAAGTTGAAACTCTTCCCTTTCCTTCTTCAGCGTTAGGCATGTTGGATTTATAGGTGTTGCCACTTTAGCTTCGTTGGAGGTGAGTTGCTGTTCTTTTCTCCTTCTTCTTCAAATCCATGACAGCAACGAAATTGTTCTCTCCTTTCCCTAACTGATTTATGACATCCATATTCCTCTTTGTTGCTGTCCTAAAGTTCTAGAAAGAATTGAGGTGTGCGTTTTGGTTAATGTTAGATGTTATTCTGCTGTGTCTGTGGGAGGTTGGGTTATGTTTGTTTTAAGATTTCAGATTTATTATCTATTCTTAAGCTTGTTATTGTTTGTGATTGTGATACTTCTTTGCACATATCATGGGTAAATTATTCTCATGCATTTGACTAAAATAGCTAAATCCTCACATAGTTGATTTGGGCTAAGTGCTTTCCTACTTTCTTTGCAGCTTTTCCTTTTCCGTTTGATACATAAACGTGAATAGCATTTCTTGTTTTGGTGGATTTCTCCTTTGATACAAGGCTGATTGTAGCTGAAACTCATGAATATAACTACTGATAGTCACAAATGAGAGAAAACTACTGTTATTTGTATTTAATCTTGTGTACTGCATGTGCTAATGATGGAAGTTGGGTGTATTTTTAAAACTGAATCTTTGACAAATAGATTTTCTATTTGTCTAATCTATACCTGGAATTAAAATAAATAAATGAATGAACTAATAATAATAAATACTAAAATAGAAGGAAGGATTATAAATGATAGTTGTACAATATTTTATTAAGTTTAAAGGAGGAGTAAGAATGGTATATATGATTTACTATGATTTCTGATTGAGAATGAGTTACAAGGAGGTGTGAAAATGGATTGAGATTTGTTAAATGGTTTAACTAACCAAGTATACTTGGAACATAATTAGTCAGAGTATTATCTTTAATATTATTTAGATTAAATTCAAATGCGCATTAATTGATTGGGAAAGAAAATTTCTTGATAAATAAATTTAGAATTACGATTTATTTATCAGAAAGTAAGGGCACCATTAGAATTAAAGTAAAAGACTAAGAGAGCACGTTTAAAATTTTTACAAACTCAGGTGAGTGGATAGTGTTTTAAATATAATTTTAGTATTGTATTTATAAAAATTTCCTTATTGGAATTTTAATATCATTTCCTTGAAATTGTATTAATATTTTTCTTCAATTCAATTCTTATAATAATTGTTTTATTGATTATCCTGTCTTGAATTTACCAATAATTGATGTTATTACAGCTTAATTATTTAATTTCATGTTTGACATGAAAATGAATTTGGACAATGGGGAATTAATAGTTAAACAATACGGTTGGAGATGAAAAATTTGATACTGCTTTCTTGCTCTATACAAGCTTGGTTTTTATTTAGGGGGACTAAGTTCAGAATGCTGGTTGCTAAGGGCAATTCCGTTAGCCCCTTAATGTGCCATAGTACATCTAACTAGTAGGTGCATTAAGTGCTAACCTCATGCGATAGCCAACACACGTGGAATGGAAGGATGATTATTCATGAGCATTATACTCATGCTTGTTTCGTAGCCTCGTGCCTATGCTTGTTTCGTGGCTTTCTGCTGTGTTTGACTAATTACTTAACCTCATGGATTATGTATTCATGCTTAATTGTTATTTACTCTTGTACACTATGTGTCCACACTTGTTATTCGTTCTAATAAAGTCCTCCTGGATTAAATTTAAATTTAAATTTTATTTTTTAATTCTCTAAAAGCATTCTACATAGTTGTATCATTACTTGAAATTTTTATATTCTATAAGCACTACAAATTTTGATAAATTTATATGGCTTTATTAGCATTGCTTAATTTCACGGTTATATTATTGAAGAAATTCATCATTTATTATTAGTTTAAGTATATGTTTCATTATTTCATTCGATTTGTTTTAAACCAAATTCATTGGTTACTGTTTTTTAAATTTTTTATTTATAATTTTGATTGAAACGTCACTCATCAAAAATTTTTTTGGTCTCAAATATTTTAGCTAACCTTGCGTCTCTTGCTAGTCATTGAGGGGCTCAATTGCTTCTTGAAATAGTGGAAGCACGCAATAGTCATTTTGTTGATGTGAATATATATTGTATTACCCAATTGTAACTTAATGCTCCACGTATACTGTAGTTACTTTATTTGTTATTGTGAAATCTATTGGTGTGGAGCTAAGCTCCTTTTTGGTTTAGCTGACAGGTTTCATTACTGTAAAAATTTTGGGAGATCCTAATCATGGGGAAGACTTTGCCAAAATTTCTATAGAATGTTTAAGATTTTACTAACCTTATAGTTATATATATATATATATATATATTAGAGACTTTATTTTGACTTGTAGGGATTATTTATTGATATTTTATCTTAATTCTTGGATAATCAAAGTTTATGGAATGTAAATTCACCTCATATTCCTTAATATTGGGGTATGATATTTTTTTATCTAAATGAGAAATTTAATTTAAATTTAAATTTAAATTCAAATTCAAATTTTCATTAATGCAAGAAGTACAAAGAGGTTGGTTATTACTTTCTTTGGCCCTATATTTTATTTGCTTCTTAGAACTCTCTATCTATATTGTTGGAATTACCAATCTAACGTTGATGTGAATTGGGTCATTTTGAATCAAATTAATGAACAGATATTTGGCATATTTCGGTTTAGTGGTGTTTGACCGAAATTAGGGATTTGATGATTGAAAATTAATTTCTTATTGAACTTGAATTAGGAAGTTTGCCTCCACATTTAATGTGGAATATTCCATCACAATAATTTATTCTATTACGAGGCGAATTAATGATAATTGAAATTTCCTATTTCATGCATAGCGGCCTTCCACTTTATAAATATTGATAGGTGACTGAAGAAAAAACTTATCGAAATATAAATACCTCTTTTTTAGTATTCTGTTATTCTCTCCCTCTCTTTTCTAGAAAAAAGGACTATAGCAGTCGTGTAGTCGAGTAGATCTTACAATAAGACTTAGACCCAACTTTTTTTTTTTAATTATTGTTTTGGTTATAATATCCTTCACACACACATCCTTCAAATGATAGGCTTTTTTCACAACCTACAAATTATTTATTAATAAGGTCCTTACGTACATCAAAAATAAAATATGAACTCGCCCTTGATGTGTCAAATTATATCAATTACAACAAACATATATATACACCATACATTAGTCATTTCAAGACATGGTATCAAATCTTTCAAAAGCCTCATTAAGAGAATATTATTCAAATTTTCATAAACAAAATATATTATCCAAATCAGTGTTTAAAGCTAGCCTCCCCTGCAGGATTCACCATTTTTTAATCAAATAATACATGACTAATATTTAATTAAACTTGCATTTTATATACACATATATAATACTCAATCCACTACATTTATTGACATTATTATGGCTTAGTTATTCCCTCTCCATGTTGCTTCCCAAATGGTTCTATTTACAGACAAATAAAAAAAAAAGGCAAACCCTTTTAATAAAAAACCATATAATAAATCTGAATACATATGCATGTCACATAATTGCACAAGCATGAGGGTTTTCATCACTGAACACGGACATGGCCTTTTCACTGACCACCATTGAACCAATTGGCTTCTGGTAGTACCCAAACTCGTCTCCATTATTATACCCATGCTTGTAGTAGTTGTAAGAAGAAGGCTTATTAGAAGAAGACGAATAATAGTTCGAAATAGATCCTCGTCTTCTTCTTGTTCTTCCATCATCATATTCATAGCTAGATGATGAGTTGTTAAGATTATTATTATTGCAGTAATGGCGAACGAAGCCATGGTATTCTGGGTCATATGGATATGGCCATAGCTCTGCCTTCTTGCCAGTCTTCCTCACAGTCTTCAAAACCCTATTTTGATCTGCCCATCCCATCACAGTAACCTTCTGCAATCTCATGTCTATGTCAACATCATCAACTCCTGAACATATTTTCATTGACAGTTATAAAAATGCATGACTTAATAGTCTTAATATATATATATAATTTAGGAAAGGAGATAAAAAAGGGTAAAGTTTTGTACCAGGTAGCTTTTTAAGGGCCTTCTTTATCTTGCGTTCACAACCTTCACAGTCCACATTCACGCACATCTCTACTATCTGTATATATGCAAATATAGAACAAAATAAGAGAAAAGAAAATTAAAGGTTACAAGTTACAACAATGATAATATTTTGCAATTACATATATGTGTGTGTGTAATACCAAGGTAAGGTCACGTAGGTTTAGTCATGGCCAGTGTATTAGTGTTTTCTAATATTTCTTATCAGAAACACTTTCTTTCCCCTTCAAGGTAAGTGTGTGTGTATTTTGAGCATCTTTGATGATGTATTCTTTTGTATAATTTGAAATTTTTTATATAATTATTTAATTGGATCATATTCAAGTGTTATCTCAAATCTAATCGCCTTTGAAAAGACATCTTCTACATTTACATGTACTTGAATTTAAGACCTCGTACGTAAGTTCCCATAATCCCCTCAATTAGTACAAACATTGCGCTTGTTGATCGTATAGTTTGACCTTTAATAAGACATTAAAACAAACACCAACATATAATTGAATAATGAGGCTGCCCATACAACAATTAATAGTCGCGTAATTAAGCTAATAAACTCAAAATAACTATGAGAATTATATCTGGGTTTTAAATAAAAGAGGAGGGATTAGGGCTAATTCACATGAAATAAACCATCTAGCCCCTTAAAACTTGCTAAAAAGGCAATATTGCTCTATTCATACACACACAGATATAAACCGAAGCATAAAAAGAAAAAAAAGAAAAATGATGATGCTAGGAGTGTGTCTATGTTGTGAAATCGATCTCTCAAAGACGGCTATAATTAAGGTGACGATATTATAATATATTTGTTCATACAAACTTCATAAAGAGATACAGAAACAAAATGACAATCATAAATAAATATATATCTTAAAAATATATATATATATATATATATGTATATATATATATATATATATGTATATATATATATATATATGTATATCTTATTACCGTCATGGTGAAAACGTAACGCTTCTGTAGCAAATGTTATAAGCTTCCTATGACCATATAAAAAGCCTGTGAAACCATATGATCTATTTATAGGCATAGGAGAGGAACGCCTTTATCTTAAATATATATTATAAATATATATTTATATCTATATCTTATAAATATATATATATATATCTTAAGTACATACATACATACATACATACATATATACATACATATATATATATATATATATCGTATTACCGTCATGGTGAAAACTTAACGCTTCTGTAGCAAATGTTCTAAGCTTCCTATGACCATATAAAAAACCTGTGAGACCATATGATCTATTTATAGGCAAAAGGGAGGAATGCCTTTATCTTGTCCTGTACTCAAACCAAGCACAACATAATTGACACATACAAGAAATGATTAAGTTATGATGTCACACGCGTGGTCCCCAAGAAGATTTCTTTCTCTCCAATCAAATTGCTTAATTAGGAAGTTGATGGCAACATATACTCTTTATATATGTTACGCGAAAGTTCACAGCAAATGCTTTAGAACTTATTTGGAAGATTCTGAGAAAACAACCCCAACAAGAAATAAACCTTTAATTGGTTATAAAATAGACTCAATTGATAAATAACAATGACGTTGATTAATTAATATTATAAGTCACAATCACCAGATTATTATTTATTTCTGTATTAAGATTTATTAATCAAATTAGGTATCTTGAATTAATCATAGAAAAGAACCTTCCAATAAAAGCTTCGAGTTTGATGCTGACTTGTTTGAACTAAGTGGCCAACGCGTGGGGCATCCATAATGAAATTGCCACGGTAAGTTCATCGGTTTTGCGTTTCGTCGAAGGTGCAGGCAATTGAGGAAGCTACCAATGAAGCTGTTTTTCATGGAGACTTCAGTATATTATACACGTATATATACAGATGTATTTAAGTATTTTTTTTTTGCCAACATGTATTTATATATGTGTGTGTGCATGTATGTATAACTTATGAGTCGTCTATAGATTCATCTAACCTTGTAAAAAAATTCAGTTTGGCCCTTTAATTCTATAAAATGTATCTTTTCAATTTTCTAATCCTAACACCATTAATTTTAAATGATTTTTTTGTTAATGCTAACAATGTTTTTTTACTCTTTTAAGCTTGATTTGATTTGTTATCTCATCTTGTATGATTTCTATGCTTCCTTCCCCCTTTTATCTCTAATTTAAAGTGTTTAAGCTTAAAAGACCTTTTTAATAAATATTTTTACATAGGATCCCAACTTTACAATTATAATTTTTATTAAATGTGGTTTTGTCATTTTTATTATGATAATCCTAATAGAATTAGATGCCCTTAATTACCTTGATAGGGTGATTTTTGGTTAGTTTCTTCGCAACATAGGAGAGACATTACATATTTAGTTTTAATAAATGAAAATTATACCCTAGTGCAAAATTATTCTTTTGTAGGGAACTTTTAACATAGATAAAAAGGCACCAACTATTAAAAAAAGAGGTGGTGGTATTTTTGTAATATTTGAAACCACTATAGGCTTTCAACATCAGTTTAAAATTAAACTACTATAGAAAAAACTTTTAACATCAAGGTGTAATTTAACTTAATGACAAAAAGTTTTAAAATAAAATAAAATTTTTGACTTTCATTAGTGGGTGATATGGCACCTGCTATTGAAAGTTGAGAAATAAAAAAATTAAAATTTAACACTTTCTTCAACAATGGGTAACTTGGCACCCGCTGTTGAAAGTTTTTCAAAACATTAAAAAAAAACCTCTTGCCTTGCCTCACTTCTTCATCCTCTCCATCCCTTCATCTTTTTTCTTCTTTCTCTCCCTTTGTCAGCCCCACTTGGCCTCCCTCTTGGCTCCTTCTCCTTCTTTTCTCTGTCCAAGTAATTGTCCCTTTCTTTTCTTTTTTAATTATTAATTTATATATATTAATTATCATTTAATTGTAGTTTTATTTTTAATTATTGTTTAATTAATTATTTTTGAATTACTTTTATTATTATTTTTATGTAAAATTGTTGTTGTTGTTGTTATTATTTTTGGATGTCTAATGTTCAGGGAAAGTATGCCAAAATTTTATTAATACTAATTGTTATTGAGAGTGCTATTAGTGGCTTTATAAGGCCTTAGGTTGTTGCATGTGATGATTTATTTGGTGTAAAATTATAAATTTTTTCTTGTAAACTTTTTTAAAATTTTTGGGAGGTCTAATTTTTAAAGGAGACTCTACCAAATTTTTTAAAATTTATTAATGTTCCTAAATTACTTAAAATCATAAATTAATTAGGAATTTACATTTTTTAAATAGTTTGAAGATGATAGCATACACATTAGTTTTATTCTCCTTATTTTTTACATTAACATTTGAAAATGTTTTGTAAATATTTAAAATCTAAGTGGAGGAATTTGTTGTTTATGAAATTAACAATGTGAGGGTTAAAAACTTGAAAAACACCTTATAAAATTAAGGGATGAAAAAAAAAATCTTATGTCAAGTTAAAAAACTAAAAATGCAAATTAGCCTATATATATAACTAATATAAATATTAAAGGGTTAAAAACCATTTTTTCCCCTAAGCTTTTTTTTAGGAACACATTGGGCATTTTGTATTGAAGGGTGGAGTAATATCCTCTCTAAATATAAAAGGTATCTCTAGTAATCTTTTTCATTTGTTGATGGAAATGGATCTTTGGTTTTTAATTAATAAATTAAATATATAATATTTAATCCCCCCCACACACATATTTATCAATAAATATATTATTTAAATATAGTTATTTATTTATCACTATTTTTATTTATTAATATGATAAATTAATATATCTATAATAATTATTTCTATTATATGAGTATTATATTTTTAAAAAGTAGTTTTGCAGAAATTTTTTTATTAAATTGGGAAAATAATTTATTGTCATTATATAATATATTATAATTTTTTCATATAATATATAATATTTTATATTTCAAAATAATTTATGCAAGAAAATATTTTTTATTTTTAAATAAAAATAATGAAGTATGAAATAAAAATAAAAATAATGAAGTATAATTTAAATTATTATTATTATTATACAAATAATTTAAAATAATAAATTATAATTATTAATGGATAAAATAGCAAATTATTCTTGAACTTTAAGTTCAATAACATTATAGGCTCTAAATTTGCTTATTGTGCAAGTTGTTTTCTCAACTTTTAAAAATGGTGCCATTTGACCCTTGCTATTGATAAAAATTAACTTTAATCATTAGTTGACTGAAAAATAACAAAAATGGCATCAAAAATTATAGGAAAGGAAAGGACCAAAAAAAATTTTTTTTGTAATTTTTTTATCATTGTATGTAATTTTTAGGTCTTTTATTGTAATATTTTAGACTTTTTCTATAATTTTTTAGATCCTTTTTTGTCAACTAATGTAAGGTTAACTTTTTGTTCATAGTAGAAGCCAAATTACACTATTTTTAAAAATTAAAAAATTAATTTACACAATAAACGAGTTTAAGATAAATGTGTTACAAGACTTAAAGTTTAGGAAATAATTTTTTATTTTTCCTATTATTAAATTATTTATTTATAGCATAATAATTAATTATTAAATAAATTATATATGAATATATATTATAAATCATATAATGAAATTAAAATAATTTGTGATAAAATTAGCAACAAAATTATACTAAAAAGGTTTGTGACAAAATTTCTAATCACAAGTTCTAACACAAAATTGGAATAAGGTATTCTGAAAATCGTCATTGCTAAATTATATCTAATAGTTTAGAGACAGAATGTTCTGTCACTAAATTGTCAATACAATAAAGAAGGAATTGACAACGGATTGGTAACAAGAATTTATTCTGTCCCTAAATTCGATTGCTAATTCGGTTGCTGTTTTTGTAGTGATTTGTGTTATCCCTAATCATGTGCAGTTAAACAATAAGTGTTACTAGGCACAATTACTTCATAAGAGTTAGCATAGTTAAAGAGAAACAAATATTGAACTGGATATCAATGGGAATTATTTCTTTTTGTCACATAAATACATGCTAATCAAAACCCTTTTAGTACAATCGTAATTGTTGTCACACACACGGTGAAACAATTACGAAGACTAAAGACTGAAGACAAGAAATATAATAGTTATAGTGCTATATACATTGACCTTGGACAAGGTTTCTAAGGATTCCCTTCATATTTGCTATCTTTATGGTAGTACTCACATAAATTTCATCTTGCACATCTTCTACTGGCTGGAAACAAGCATATCCCCAACTTTTCTTCAACATTAGAGTCCTAATGACTCCCCCAAGCCAACAACATACCCAATTGTTATGACAAAGTAAAACCAAATTTTTTCAAAATCATTTTCATCTTCCAATTCTTTGGTTTCATCACCTTGACACTTATTTTATAGTGGGGTTCCATAAAGATATGGGTTTCCAACATTAATGGATGGATCATTCAAAGTCAAGAATTGATTCTCAATTGGAATTGGTCCTAAAAGATTATTATATGACATGTTTAAAGGGTTCAATGAAGTTAGCTTTGACATACTCTTTGGAATTGCGCCTAAAATGTGGTTACGAGATGTTAAAAGATTTAAGGGATTTCATATTGTCTATTATCTCAGGAATCAATCCCTTCAAATGATTATGTAAAAGGTTTAAGCTTATCAATCCAATAAGTGTGAATAACTCAAGATGAATAGATCCAACCAAATGGTTATTTGACAAATCCAAGTTGACCATGAGGGGAAGGATGCTAATAAAGTCAAATTCTCTTTTAAGAACTTGTTTTAGATCCTGATCAAGCCAGTGTATTTCAACTAAAGATGCTGAGGAAAACACGGATTGATGGATTAATTTCCATAAACTAGCACCACCTTTAATCATTCCCATAAAATTGCCAATGCAATGGGATAATGAGCCACTTAAATTATTGTTTGCAAGGTCCAAAATCTGGAGTGACTTGAGTTGACAAAGATGGGAAGGATTAAGACCAACCATGATGTTATCCCGCAACCTGAGCATACGTAGTGAAGGGAATGTGTTATTAGCCCATGATGGTATATATCCAAAAAACTTATTCTCACCCAAATGTTAAAATTTCAATTTCATCAAATTTTTTTAAGGTCAATCGAAACTTCTCTTCAAGGTAGTTATTGTTCAAATGCAACCAAAGCAATGAGACAAGCTTTCCCATTGAAATAGAAAAATCACCTGAAAGTTTGTTGGATGAAAAATTTATTTCAATCAATCTAAGTGGTGGATTATCTCCCCAACAATTTGGAATTTCACCGAAATTGTTGTTTTTGGTATGATCAAGGCTTTCTAGATTTAAAAGGTGACAAAGACTTTGAGGCTATATAAATATACAAGTTGATTGAGATCTCTATAATTTTTTTTTTTTGGCTAGAGATCTCTATAATTTAAGCAAAACATATATAAAGGAAGTCATCATATTTTATTCTTTATTTTAATATTTTTAAACTTTATAAATAGTCCTAGAGTTTTTCATTATAGTCAAACTTTGATTAATTAAATAGAGAGTTGCATATTTTTTGGTTGCACATCCTCTTTCCTCTCCATCTCCCTCCTTTCTTTTTCTCTCTTTTTCCCCACCCCTCTCTGTTTCAAATCAATCATTATCATAACCAAGTTTCCACTACACCTTCGTTCCTAAGTCCACGCTACTAAAAAATTGGCAACAATGACTGATAAATCCATTACTAAATAGCAAAATCTATAGCTAATGAATACTTCAAGGTAGAATTTTGTCTTTTGGCCTATTGAATGAAAGTCACTTCTGAATTATTGTAGTGGAGATGGATTGCTTTGTGTCTTGATTAATATTGGTCCAGTTAGTTGTTTTCTTTTGAAGTGTTACATTTTGATTTTAGAACCAGGTTTGATTGGTTGAGATTTTATTAGTCTATTGAGGATAAGTTTGGCCATTACGATACATAAAAATATATTAGTCATGCTTTATGCAGGCCATGATAGGGAGCTTGATGAAATTATAAAAATAGTAAAGCTTTATTTGACATTTTTATGCATATATTCCATTCATATATACTTATGGTTGGTATGACCTTTAACTTGCTATCTCGGTTTCAAAATATGATCTTATCATTAAAGTTGTATATGCAAATTAAACAACTATTAAATGGCCTAATTTTACAAAACGTTTATAACTTAGTACTTGCATATTCTCTTTATCTGTATTACTATTTAATTCAAAGTTAATACAGGATAAAGCTTATTCAAATAATTAAATCTCCATTAAGCTTTAGTGTGGGGATGAGACTAAGGAATACATATATGCCCTCTGTTAAAATACATAAAAGGCATTTTTAATTGAATTATATCCCCCAATAAGTTAATTAATTATTTTTAAATTGATACTACATTTTCATATTTGTCCTTATTTAATATAAGGTATCTCATTTAAAGGTGTTGAGTTGAATGATTTATTTATTAAGAGTAACTTGAAAAAAAAAAACCCATTAATTACACATTAAAAATTAAAAATACCTTATATTTTTTAACATCTAACCTTATAAAAAATACTTTATATTTTTAGGGGAAAGAGTAATTTGAGTACAATTTAATATTTTATTAACAGCAACGTAGATGATTAGTAGATAATTTGCCAAAAAAAAAATGGTGATAAGAAAATCAAAGCAAAAACGCGACACAGACACGTGACAAACTTCAAGCAGGAGCTAATTGCAAAACCAGAAAAGAAAATTAGGAAAATCTCATACAATGCCAGAGTTAAACACATGTAAATCCAGCAATGTATTGTAGTATCCCTTCTCAATTTCCTCCTCCTTTGCTTGATGAAGAAGTAAGGTCTCAATAATCAAGTCTTCCCAATCAACTCCATCAACTAGCTTTCTTCTTCTCTTCAATTTCTTCCCAGAACAATCAGCACTCAAATCAGAATTTAATGGATGCATAATTCTACCTATACGCACCTTAGCAGCGTTGATCTTGTCTCTCCTCATCTCACATTTCTGGCAGTTGGAAATAAAAGAAGGTGGCATGGTTTCGAATCCCACGTCCTTCTCAAGTAACTGTTTGAGTAGAAGCTTTTTGCTCAATTCTGATTTTCCATTCCACCAATCGCTACAATCCTGAAGATCAACCCTGTCTGAAGATTTCTTGTACAACATGGATAAACATTCAGGTGAATAAAGCAGTTTGCTTGCATCCCTAGCACTTGGTCTTGTAGAGTGAATGTTATTTTGTGATATTCTACAATGTGAATCACTTCGCAGGTTTATGGCATCATTCTTCTGTCCATGTTCATCAAGTCGTCTTAAGCATTCACTAACCACATCAGCCAAATTAAACTCTGGACTATCTAGGTTGTTCCTTGTATCAACAGGTTTCAACATAGCCTTTGTCTCCAAATACTTGATTACAGATGGCGCATGTTTAACAATGTTTTTAGTGGTGATATCTCTACCCCAAGGCAAGACTTGTGCCACTTCTACAAGTTTCTCTAAAAGCTCTTTGTATCGTGTTTTACTAGTGGAAACCACAGCATGAACTTCCTTGGCCAACTCATTAATCCCAATTTCAACCTGATTCAATTCTGCTACCAGAACTAAAACAGCAACTACCAATGGAAGTGGCTTACGTCCAGTACTCAAAAACCACTTCATTGCACATTGTATTAAAAATATCCCCTGCTTGCGCATTCTGTCTACTTTGCTCCTCTCAATTCTAGTAAAAGATGGAGAAATCTTAAAGACCCTTTCCAATGAATGCACAATATCAAACTCTGGAAAATCAAATTTTTTCAAATCCATAAAATCAATAACTCGTTTAATCATCCTACCCAATTCATAAACATCACACCCAACTGCCCAAGCCACTTCAGCCATAGACATTGGGCGATTATCCTTTCGCATCACTATATACACACATGCACCAATTAAAACCTGAAACCAATCACCTTGCCCAAATTCACCCTCTGTTATGGTAGAAATCATCTCTTTAATATCACTAATTTTTGAAGATATACCTAATCTAGAAGTTAATTCATCTATCAAATTTTGGGCTTGAAAGAATTTCCTTTCTTTGTAACTGTATATAGTACTTGCACCTGCAGTTCCAACACGGATGAATGTCCCTTGTGGGCCATTGATGCCACCAATATGAGCTTCATACTGATCATATTCTTGAACAACACCACACAAGGAACATATCAAATCCCCAGACACATCATCCCTAAAAAGAGAAGTTTTCCCACAATTGTTGCAGGAACGTGAGCTTGCCATTGGGTACCACAAATTTCAAAAGGGGAATATTTTTCCAAGGTGGTTCTTCCACAGGACTGTTTGGTCAGCGAAATCAAGTTCTAAAAGAATACTCTTTGGAGAAGATACTGAACAGGCAGGGAAGCTATGCTTTTTTACCTGCAATACTTCAGGTAATTCACTGGCAGATTGGTATGCAGATACTAGGACTGCATTTATTCAAACAAATAATAGATTAATACATAATACAATCCAAAGACATTAGACTCGAGTTCATCTTCTAATGAAATTAGCTTAGCTCATCCATACCTAGATAAATAAATTTATTTATAGAATTATAGAATGGCATACCATAAGATCCAAAATCATACATATAAAAATCATAAATCTTAGTTGTGCATATAGAATGGGAATCCAAAATATGCGGCACACATGCTTGCTAGATAAAAATGGGAAGAAAAAAAAAAACATGAAGAAGATTCACTTAAAAGTTGTGCATTTACAAATGTGCAAATAACATAACACTGCATATCTACAAAGGCAACATTCAAAATCAATTCCTGAGTTAAGTTAGACATGAAAAAATAATTAATTGCACATTACATAAGCTCATATTATTTTTCAGCTTTAAGTTTCTACTGTTCACTTTGTTTTAACAAGACAATGAAAGGTAATTCTCCAAAGCTACAGTAAATCTAGGAGGAAAAGGCAATACAGAATAAAAGATACAGTTTGGATGATGTGAGCTTATTCAAAATTCTAAAGTCCAATTCCCTGGTGCAAGAAAAACTGTTAATATACCATAATAAACCAAAACTCAAAAAGTTTGATATAATCACAACCCAAGCAGATGATACCGAGTGAAATATGTATGCAGAGAAATCAGAGAATGAAAATTAACTTGTGATCACTTTTCTGAGCAGGGGCAATCCTTTTATCAAGTAAGTTTTGGAAAATAAATACATAATTAAATTTCTAACAGCTTTAACCAACATCATGACCTCATTTTACCATATTATCCCAAATGGAAAAATCAAAAGAACTGGGTACTTTAGCAATGATGCAGCTCTGTGAATCAAACCATATATGTTCTCCAAGTCCTATAGTTTACTTCTCATCGCTTATTTTCAAGATCCTCTTCCTCCACACACCCTATATGAATATGTAAATAAATAAAAACTTTAATGAACTTTCTATAAATTGTATAAACTTCTTTCCACTACTAACACAACACCACTCAATTACACCCATTCAAAATTCCAAAACACCAAAATTCATATCTTAAAGATTCTCCAAGCATGATGATTTACATCAGAAAGTTTCTCCATATTACTTTAGCAATAGCTAATTATTTAATTGAGATATGATCCTCTCTCAGACCTTTCAACGAACACCCAGTATGCAATTTCCAATTCAATCAATTAAACTTTTTAACCTTCAATCTCCGGCCCAACACATTTCCAAACATACATAATTAAATTCAACATGCTTTTCAAATTCAATCCCCCACCAAGAATCATTTAGGCTTAAAGAAAATTCAAACCCGCACTATCTTCATCTTACTCTCTAGACTAAGAATTTCAGCTTGTTCAAACCCCCTCCCAACACAATCACACACCTCAGCAGTACAATGAAAAATAATTACAATCTCAACCACTTAAATACACACACAGGGATGAACGAGGAAAAAGGAGGACTCAAAACTCCTCACATCAGATCAGTCACAATAGAGCAAGCAAAAAGAAAAAAAACAAAAACAAAAAAAGAACCTGATGACGCGAAAAGTCGAGGTGGAAACGGGTCTAGGCTCATCAACAAGACGGCAGAGGAAAGAAGAGAAGAATTTCGAGCTCCCCTTCACCAGATCGATGACAGCAGAACTGGAAGAGAAGAAGAAGAAGAAGAAGACGGCGGCGAGACGAAACACAGGAGGAAGAAGAAGAGATCGCGACCTCAACGGAACTCACCACAGCAACGAACGGCATGCCCACGGTTATTGGCGACGGACGGACGGAAAGGAGGAGGAAAACGGTGGTCAGGCGCAGGGTGTCGAAGCTCGCTCACGGTTGAAGAACGAACGCGAAAGGATTGGTTAGGGGTGTGTTCAGACGTCGATTGATCTGGTATCATCTCGATCTTATCGGAACAGGTCTTGTCTCGATCTAAAAATAATAGGAACGGAACTTTACGAGACGGCACAAGAAAAGGATTCAGGACGGGACAGAACACGTCTCGAATATTATATATATATATATATATATATTTTATTTTAAATATATTAATTATATTAATATAATTTATACTTATATTAATTATATCAATTATAATTTTAATACTTGTAATTCTTATTTAAAACTAAAGTATTTTTATATTGATAATTTTAATAGCATGGATTAAACATAACGATATCTTTCTTTATAATATATTAATTATATTAATATAATTTATTTTTATATCTATTTATTTAATAACTTTTACTTATAACATATTTCTTGCTTGTTTTTAGAAGAGTAATTAGCTTAGTACATCTTCACTAAAGTAGAAGAACAATTATTTGATATTGTGTTTGACTTGCCTGTTGTTACTAATTTTATAGCATAAAGATCACTTGTATTTTTTATTATAATATGTAGTTGTAATTAATATAATTTAATAATTAATTGTAAATTATTTTTATTTATATACTTGTGTTATTTTAATTTTAAACTTAATAAATTATATAATTTAAAATTTTAATAAACGTTATTATCCAGATCTTTTTTTGATCTTATTTCATTTATCGGGACGATGGGACATCTCGATCTTATCCCGATCCCGTCCCGACTCTTAACGAGACGAGACGACTTTCGAGACGAGACGGGACACGAGACCAAAATTCAGTTCTGATCTTTTTTTGGGACGGGACACGGGACGGGAGTGTCCCAATCCCGTCCCGTGAACACCCTTAAGATTGGTTTTGTTTAAAGGGCATTTCAGTAATTTTACAAGGTTAAAACAAAAAATCACAGCAAATATTTCAAGCAGCAACCAAGGATGCATGCCATTATTAATGGGTCGTAAAAAATTTTGAAATATTAATTCAATTCAAGACAATGATTAAAAATTAGATTGAATCCGCCGGTCAAACCATCGGGTAAGGTCAAGCTAAAAAATACTTAGGGTGTTGGGCCAAATTAAGCCACTTTAAACTGACAATATAATCGAAAACTAAGATCAAGTCAAGAAATGAATTCAGATTTTAAAAATTAGACTGTTCAAAAATACCCCTTTTTATATTTTTATTAATTTTTAGAAAATAACTCATTTTTTTAATCATTTATGTTATGTTATAACATGTGACTTGTTAAATCATGATAAAGTTAAAATATTTGGCTTTATTTATAAGTTAAGTAATAATTTTATATTTATTTTTATATTTAAATTATTATATATATATATATATATATAATTTTTTAGTTTAATTATTAGGTAGACAATTTGACCATTAGGCCATGTGAACCATGAATAATTAACCTTTTTAGTTCAATATCTTCAGTTTGAAAACATTGGTTTAGGAGATAAAAGTAAAAATGATTTGAACTATGAAAAGATCAAAGTACCTTTCATTACATTAGTTATGCAAAATTACTAGTTATTATTTTTCTTACTTCACTTATTAATTTATTAATATCACTTACAAATTATATTTGTTTGTCAAATAAATAATAATATTAATTGTTAATTTACCAACTTTACTTGTTAATTTACTAATATTAATCGTAAATTAAAAGACTTGATGTTAATAAATTAACAAATAAAGTTAGCAATTTAATAACTGATGCCATTGCTTATAATTGAACAACTGATGTAAAGTATTATATAATTATTAATATGTAAACTTATATTAGTAAATTAATAAATAAATGAAAAAAATTAACAGCTAATAATTATATATAGCAAGTAAAAGATACTTTAATTTTTTTACAATTAAAATTATTTTTTCTTTTATCTCCCGAACTAAATTGAAATTTTAAATTTTTTTTAAAACTCACTAATAATTATATTACATCCCTAATTTTCATTTGAAATTCTCCCAATATAATATCTCCCTTGGCTACAAGGGAGTTCGAACCAAGATCCTGGAGGCAAACGCACTGAACCCACTAGGATATTTTTGATAAATTCATCTCAGTTTATAAAAATACATTGAAAATTTTTTTCCCAAAAAAATACACTGAAAATACTTTGTCAATTGTCACAAACTAAATTTTTCTAAAAAAAATTCTGGGTTATTTTGATGAATAATCCTTTCTAGAATAATATCTATGAATAAATTTCATAATAAAAAATACACAATATCTAAAATAATTTTCTAACTCTGGACTTTTGAATAATCCTTTCTTTCATTTTCATTCCATCCATGAATGTCAAACTTTAATCACTGCCCTGCTTACCAAAAGCCATTTGTGTTAAACACAGATTTAGCATATTTAGCATCAGGTGTCATATTGATAGAAACCAAATGTATGTGAAGGAAACATTACTTGATTAAAAGAAATTGATTACTGCTTGTTGACTTGAAAAATCAATTTTAGAGGTCAAAATCATAATTTTATAAAAATATATTTAAACATTCTATTATATATTAAAATTAATTATAAATTCAAAGCTATGTTTTTCAAAAAAATATATAAACACTTATAACACATGTCAAAATCAATTGTGAATGCAAAACTATAGTTTTCTTAAAAGAACTCAAGCACCTCTATACATGTTAAAATCAATTAAAAATCCAAAATTATGATTTGTAAAATAAATTATATCATTTTTTGATAAATTTTTGGAAAATTATAATTGAAAAGCAGGTAACAATAAATTACAAAATAACCGTGGTTTTGAGTTTATAAGAAATAATAATAAGAAATTTTGAACGTCCAAATTAGTTTTTCAATCGTGCAAACAAAAATGTGCACTAATTTATTATTATTAAGCACCATAATTTATAAGAAAAGCTCACAAGTGATGTTTAAGCATTTACTATCAAGCTTTTCCAAACCTCTTGTGTGGACTCTGAGAAAGCTGGGAAATGACTGAATCACATATAGCACTCATCTAAACGGCTTTTATGCAGCTGAAATGCAGGATTCACCCATGCTCCACAGCTGCACTGCAAACCTGCCCAGTTGAAGTAACCTAAACGAGCATTGCATCTCAAACAGAAAAGTTTTTCCTCTACATGGCCCTCATTAACTGCCAAGTGAATCAATATTCATGAAGAGTTTTTATGAAGAAGGAAGAGGAATCTTGTGGTTGTGGCAACTAAATAATATATAATTGAAATTTATAAAAACCTGCTTGCATCCACTTCATGGGTTCGACAAATACTGAGGTACAGTCGACTGGATGCTTTTCCATTTTCTCGCTTCTCTTCTTCCATTTGAAACTTGCTTCTCCTTGTCCATGATCATGTGAAACGATATTCTCATCTGAAGCAACAAGTCTCCGGCATTTCTTGCACCGGTAAATAACATGAGATTTTTTTGTGGTCTCCAACTCAGAGCTACCAGTTTCAGCCATCTGGATACACTGATCAATGATGTAGATGTTTAATATTCTGCTAGTTTGAAAGCATATGAGAAGACAATTACATGGAACCTAATAATATAGTTGCCCAATAGTCATTCATCCAGGCATGGTTAAATAAATGAAGTTAGAACAACTTCTAACTTCATTAATAATATAAGCCTCTCCACATGGTTACTCTTAGAACAACTTCTTGGATAACCTAGAGTTCATTATGCTTTAATCTTATTACGCCCAAGGCAAAGTACTTTGACTTTAATTAACTAGGATGTAATTAGTATTCAGGATGATCCAAGTGACAAGACTTAGCACACTCTGACATTGATCACTGTTACTTTAGACATTAGAGGTATGACAACAAAAGTGGATTCGGGATCACCATAGAGAAAGTTGTAGACACATTGAATGTTCATGTGAGCAGAAAAAGCAAATACTAAAATGTGCAAGGAATCCGAATTTTCTTGTTGATGGACTCTTCAACGTCAAATCTACCTATGTTTTTCTTGTTGCAGGTACCCAAACTAACATTGGTGGAATCTGGAGCAGAATTTGGAGATGGTGGGGTCTAGAGAAGATCAAAGCATTATTCTGGCTCTTGACAACCAATAAAGTACACACAGCGGGACTGGGAGCCAAAAGGGGTCTCCTTCAATCTAATGCCTGTCCTCTTAGCTTGGATGCAATACTTGTGAGGACGCTCTTCATCTTTTAAGGGACTATAAGCACGCTGAAGATCGCTGGAGATGCCTCGTTAAAGCAGAACAGTGGAATCATTTCAAGTGCCTGACCAGGGAAGATTGGATTACATGGAACCTTAAAAATGAAGTTGAAAAAGGGTCTACTTGACAGGCACCTTGGGCTGTCCTCTTTGGTTATGTTTGTTGGGATGTTTGGTGTGATAGATGCAAGAGACTTTTTGTGAATAAGGAGGTGGATTTAACTGGATCAGGTTTAATTACACTCCAAAAAGTTAAATCTGATATTAGTAAAGCTGATTTGGTCGAAGGCTTCAATGCTTGTGTTGCAACGCTTCCTGTGACGTTGACAGAATTGACTGGGATTATCTATGACTTACATCTGTGTTGCATTAGGGGTCCTCACAGAGTGAAAGTCTTCACTGATAGCGGCAAAGCCATTAATTTAATTTATTGTAGCAGTGATGATCAATACCCTTTCAAAGACATTATTGAGTAAGCTAGATCATTCTTACAAAGAAAGTGGCACGATTAACTTTATGTTTAGATAAGCCAATTTTTGTGTGCATTTACTTGCTAGGAATGCTACCTTTTGTTCAGATACCTGGTATATCTTTGATCACCCATCCCTTCATTGTATTGAGGTGGTGGATGATGAGAGAAATTCCTCCTTGACTTCTAACTAGTTGTGCTTTATACTTTGTTTTATCAGTTGTAATTCAAAATAAAATGTGCAAGGAAATCTATCCAGAGTTGCAAGCATTCTATCAAGGAATAAACCATAACCAGATACGAAAGCTTTGATATATATCAGTAGGTATAAACACATGAAAACAGAGATTACTAGAATACTTGAAAATCTGCCAAATTAGCAAAAGCATTCTCCTTTAGACTGAAGCAGAGAGTATTCGTTAGATGAGTCTTGGTGTTCTCAAGGCTGCTTATTCAGACTGTCACTTGTAGTTTCACCTTTCAGAAACACTCAAACACGTCTGTGTTCCCAATCTTCCACTCCACCTCTCTCTCAAGTCTCGTGTCCAAGCACATAAAATGACCATTATCTTTCTTCGCATTAAACATATGTAAACTCCGACTTGAACATATCAAGAAGTAGTTATACTCCCACTATTTTTACCCTTTTTTAAAAAAACAAAAGAAGGGAGAAAAACTTCTTGGTGTAATTCTTATAAATATTGTCGTGTAATCAACATTACTACATAACGAATGACAACCTTATTGTAAGTAATCTTGCATTAAAATAAAGGTATTTCACATAGATGAACTCGGATGGGAATCCGAGGACTCCTAACTATAATTGGTTATATATATATATATATTGGTATCATCCAATAAATCCGCCGGAAAGCACAAGTTACATACAGAGTGCTTATTTAGCTAATACATGACCTTCGAGATTCCAAAGTAGCCAACAAGTTAAGATGGACGCATTATGCGGTGATCAATCAGGACTTGCAAAGTTGTATTGTTCTATTATTTGTTGCCCTAACATTGTTTCCTACATAAATCATATTCACAGAACCAGAGAATAACACAGAAACATCAATCGATACCCCAATCGAATTTGTTAACTCTTGTTCGAATGCTTGATTTCATGTTATAAACATCAACCTTTGAAATTTTCATAAATAGGAAGGGAATAGCTTAATTTGATGGCAGAAGTATCTAAACAAGTCGAGACGATTAGCAAGAAGAGAAAGAAAATTACCAGTGGCAGAGTGAGAAAGCTCAATCCCTAGAATTGAACGCCAAATACGCCACCTCTGTCGTGGCCACGTACTACGCAAAAATCCCAATTTTAGTTGAGTAAAGGCCATTTATGTAAGATTAAAAAATAAATAACTTCTAGATAATTTAAATATTTTATAGAAAGAGATTATTTCGTGAAGATTTTATAAAAAAGATATATTATTTTATATTTGATTACAATAATAAAAAATAATTATTAATTAATTATTTTAAAATTTTATGATATTTTTTTATTTTTGTTTTATAAAAATAATGTATTATCTAATTAGTTTAAAAATTTATGATATTTTCATATATCTCACCTTTTACAACATAAAATTTTTTTAGATAGATCAGGTGCATCATATCATTTATAATTTACTCAATTAGAATGTTTTAAATTATTTAAATAAAATTTATTTTAACTGATTATATTCTTATAACAGAATGAATATTTAATTTCTTACTTTTTCTTTTTTTACTATCATTAACATTAAAATTAATTTATATTTAATGACATTTAAATGTCATATTTTTATTAAATAGATTACAAATGACATGACACATCTGATCTACTTAAGAATTTCTCTTAAAACATTCTCTCATGCAATGCATCAGAAAGTAGCTTCTTAAAATAATTAAAAATTTATTTTTTTCATATTTTAATTATTTTTAAAAATTTAAACAAATATATTGAAACTCACAAAAAAAATTTTCTTAATAAAATAAGTGGGAGCACATGAGCCCTAAGTCTCAAACCATACCGCATTAGCTGGTTTTTCACAAAAATATATTAAATATTTTTAATTAAATTTTATTTTTTGGCTTATTACTATTAAATTTTAATTTTCCTAAAATAAGATGAAATTAATTAATATTAAATTTTAGGTAGTATTTCAATTGATAGATATAAATCTAAATTTAAAATTTATATATTTAAAATCTCTTTGTTTAAATGGTATAAAAGTTTTAAATTCAAAGATAATGAAAAGGTAGATGAGAAATATGAAAGTAAAAAAAGGATAAGAAGAATAAAATAATTACCATTTTAAATAATTAGAGTGTAGGAAATATTTGAAATTATAATAAAATATGAATTTAAATTTAAATTAAATCCAAATCTAAATTTCTTATGAATAAATAGTTGATTTGGCTTAAATCGAAATCTAACCTAAACATAACATAATACTTGCATGAAATATGGAAAACAATTTGTATATGGCACAAGTCTCCATCCTAGTTGGGTTAATAATTTGTATCGGATGTTATGCTTTGTATAATTTAGAACTGTCAATTAGGACCAGCTCGGCCCTAAAAGGTTGGTCCTTAAAGGGCCAGGGCCTAAACGGGCTAGTCCTAATAAGCTCAATTATATATTAGGATTTCCTTTTACAAGGCTCGACCCTAGCCCTCAAGGCTAAAGAGCTGGCCCTTAGGGCCTCGGTCCTATTTTTAAAATTTTTTCAATTTAAAATTATAAAAAATATATTTATAATCACAAAAAAAGTTATTATACATAAAATTAAGTTTAAGAAAAAAAAGTTAAATCAATTTACACCACAACAATAAAGAAAATTTGAACATTTATGTCTAATATTAAATAGCAACATCAAAGTTAATACCAATAAAAATTAAATTTAGCTAACATTATCAGCTAAATCTTAATAAATGAATGAGAGATGAATGAATGCGTTTAATATATTTATTTCTTTGAGTTATATATTTAATCTTTTATTTTTTTTATATTATAATTTTTTTAAAAAAAATAAATGGGCTTAAAAGGGCCGGTCCTTTTAAACATAAATTATCATTTTTCCTTTCAAAGTAGTGGCCTGGCCTTAATTATTTTTGGGTTTAAAAGGACTAATCCGACGGGCTCAACCCTAATTGACAGCTCTAATATAACTTATAAAACATGAAGCAGTTGAGAAATTGAAAACAAATACTCCTAGAATTAGACCTAAACATGATTCATTGGCCACAGGAAGTACGAGGTTGCTTGTTTGTAGAAGACCCACGAGCTTGAGATGCTGACATCTGCAAAATCCAGTTGAACCCGTCTGCTTACATGCAACCATGCACAAAGGTGCCATATAGGCACTGAACAAGAACAAACAATTCTTAGGAAGAAGGCAGAAAGCCAATAAACTGCAACCCCAAACCATCGATCCAAAGACCACGGAAATTTCATAGACCAAGAATCTTCAAGTAGACCAATTTGGAGAGTCCTATTCTCAAAGCCCAAAACAACACAACTGAAAAACACACATCAAGTAGCCTGGGATCAGAACATAACACTACCCATTTCATGTTTCCCTTGAGTCACGAGCTTCATATCTCTAAGAGGCAAGCCTTTTTATCGGTAAAGCTCGCAAAACCATAAGTTGAACCCATTGAAGCTACGTGGACCAGAAGCAGGTGTACCACGACCATCAAGATCAAAGCCATGCAAATGGGCAGCATTTATGTCTACCATTGCCTTGATGCATACACAACTATCATTCTGGCGATTATGAATTAAAAGAGCAAATAAGGGTTTAACACGATAGGGCACTCGAAGATCAGGGTACATATCGTGAAACTCGGCAATGAAGGTAGACGTAGGAGGATAGTTGACACTCCCAGAAAATTGTAATACCTCCCACCGTGGTTCATTAATTTCATGCAAATGAAGCATAGCATAGACCAACGGAACCAATCGTACCTCTGTTTCAACCATCGCAGAGAACCAAGTCGGAGGTTGGCGTGCTCAATGGCAATATACCTAACGGTACACTCACGGACATTATGTTGGCACCAGTAGAAAAAAATATAGTTTGAGTTATGCTCAATGATATTATTCTTAAGAATTATTCCGCCACACCAATTGATCGAGTGACAGCCTCTTAAAATTAAACAGACTCATCTTATAAAATAAACAGGGAAATAGAACAACAAAGACTAGCAAAATAATACTCAAGCAGTATAACATAATATAGAGATGGAGGAAAGAATTGGCTCAAAAACTCAAGAGCCTAGCACTAAACCCACAATACTCATTGGTATTTATAGACAAAATTAGACATTCTTTGAACAGCCTGATAGCATGATTTAATTACTAGTTTTATGAACATTATAGCTCATATCACTAATTCATTCTAGCGATTTCTAAATGTTGCATTTGAAGACAATGAAAGAAATCAATTTTTAGTTTTAATAGGTTTAAATAGTGTTTAATATTATTAATAAAAATATTTATTCCTTTTGAAATACCAATATATATTTTTTAAAATATCCAACAATCTCTCACATGTTTTAAAAGGAAAAAAAAACTTTGGAAAGCTATTTTATACAAATAAATTTGTAACTTTGTAAAATAGTTTTCAAAATCTCAAAGGAAAAAAACCAGTGCCTCTTTAACTCATGCGCAAGAAAAATCAGCTGTTTTCAATTGTAATTGCTTTTTGTCAGCCTATGATATACGTGCAAGTTAACTTCTCTTCCATGCCCATTTCTAGCTCACTTTTATTCCTTTATATATACACTAGAAGTTTTACTCATGTGAGTAATATGGGACTTCTCTTTTGACACACTTACATAATAATTACAACACATTATGCTCAAGCAAGATAAAGAGATCACCAGTAATGATCCCAAGCCAATGAAAGCAAAGGAACGCCAACAACGAAAGAACATGTTGAAGGAGTCAAAGTGCATGGTTTCCGTAAGAGCAGCCATGGATGAAAGAAGTGTAGAGAAACTAGAAGCTTGATGCACCCACCATGTGAGAAGCCTCTGATTTATAGAGACAGAAGACAAAAAAGCCCAACCACTCATTAGACCTTGGTTACATGCTTTTCGAGATGAGATTGAGAACAATGTGCATGGGGTGGTGCAATTTGTAAGACGAACCCTGGATATATGACGCGACCATGAATATGAGAAGAGCTAGGAGGAGTTAAAAGAACGACAACTCATCATAACAAATGTTCTCCCATTGAGCCTTGAAGAAACTAGAGCAATGACAATAGTCACTGTATAATCCCCTCTTAATGAAGGCTCAGAGTAATGATGAGCCCTAAATTTGAGTTCCTTTGCTGAGTGATAAGACGACGTTGGGTCAGAAATTTCAATTTCCGAAGTCTTCCTCTTCTCTGTGTCTTTAAGCTACATTGTCACGTCTGAAGAATCATGCATGGAGCCACATAATCCTAAATGATTTGGGCATGAACGACGACACAGTGAGTTGGAAGACCCACATTCTTTCTGAGGCCCACTTAAATTGGTTGCAGTAAAATACCAAAAGCTCCACGAACCACATAATTTTTTAACTAGAAAAAGAAACAGCAGCCAACTCAGTAGAACCCGAACCCAGAAACTAGACCCGAGTATCATTTCTGAATCGACTAGAAGCAACATGCCCACATGCAAACATTGAGTGTAAAGTTGGCCAATGTTTCCCAAAATAATAGAAACTTCTAAAGGCTCAAGAAAATGTTAATACATTTAAAATCAAGGCAGGTGACAAGATTTCTCTCATTTTTTTTAAAGGTATAATCTCCACTCCTAAAAATATGGTAACCCTTGTTCATGGGAGAAGTCACTCCTTATCTGTAAAAGCAACCAAATATGAGGAAAGAAGGAATGGTGACATGACTACTATTTCATGGCTGAATATTCTTGTGACCAAACAGATCCATAGTGTTATGTTTGCTCCAATTTTGCAGTTTCTTTTGCTTGCTTCATCTCATTTTCTTTATTTTTAATTACTTGTATTCAAGAAATTCGTGACAAATTAAAGAACCCTGGGGACTCACGGTTTGAGGACATCTCCTTTGGCATGCCCACCCAACAACCAAAAACCCAGCATATAAATACCATGAAAATAAATTACGGGAACTAGAAACAAAGGCTGGTTATTGTTTTTTCCATTATATTAGATATAAATCATCAAAAATTAATTTTAATAGTTGGATTTCAAATAAAATTCTTAATAAGCATCGACCAGTTTTTCCTCTCCTCAATAATTTTCATTAGGGGTAGATAAACAAGGCATCAAATGTCCCTTGTCTTTCTAGCTTTGATTCCACACAAAAAGAAATAGCAATATTACAAATGTAATGTAAACTATTACAGTTCACACAATCACTAGCCACAAGGGTAGGTTTAATTATATGAAACCAAACTTAAAACTATTAATAATTATGTTTTTTAAATACATTTAACTTTTTACTTGTTAACTATTTATATGTTTGGTATATGGGAAATATTGTTTAGAAAGGAAATGGAAAATGTATCTATAGAAAGAAAATGAAAGAGGTGTATTTTTCATTTCTTTTATAAAAAACAATTTTTTACTTATTAAACATTGTATTAAGTTTATTTAAAAAAATTGTTTAATTTAATAGTATGAAACATGAAGCAGCTTGGAATTTAAATTTATCATTATTATTATTTTTAATATATTTACCTAATTGGGTTAGATTTGAACATTATTGAGCAAATTGAATATAGCTCTTCCAAAGATATCAAACTCAAGGTATCATATTTAAGTGCTTATAGCCCTTTCTAGAAGGACCAACACATGCAAGTAATTAGCTTATTCGGATGGCCTGAGTATGTACGACAGTCACAGAAATGTTTGGCAAAGAAACAAAAAAGGACTGATTTTTACCCAAAAGAATGACAGATACTTTTGGGCCCGTTTGGATCTTTGATTTCGGCCTATCCAAAAAAGAAAGGAAAGCCCATTAGGGCCCTTAAATCGTTCTGTTTGAGTAGCCTCTCTTCGTATTAGTTCTTGTTGTCGTTGCAATCTTCGTTCTCGCATACGAATTTGGGCCCCCCCAAAAAAAAAAAAAAAAATTTCTCGCGTACGGAGGAGAGTATTGCTTCCAACAGTTCCATGAAGTGGCGAGAAAAAGGATTCCCGAAAAATGCACTTTCACACGATGATTTCAAGCTACGAACAAGAGTGAGTGCCGCCAAGCTGCAAATTGAAAAACTGTACATCCACGACTGTAAATCAGATGAGCATTTTTTGCTAGTTGTACTTCCATCATCTTCGTCGAACTGGTTTTGGATTTTACGGTGAAAAGATTTGGGAAGATTTGGTAATTTTTGCAAATGAATAGGGGCGTGTAATGCATTGATAAATAAACTGGCGTTAGGACAAATTCCTTTGGCTTTTAAATAGTACACTGCATAACTAATGCATGAAAATTTTAAAATTATGAGAAAATAATCTAGAGTTTAGTTTACAATATTTCTTAAATTAATGTGTGTGTGCGTGTGTGCGCGTGCGTGTAAATGCGTGCACACACACGCACACACACACACACAGATATAGATAGATAGATAGCATAAATATGTTATATCTAAAAGGCTATTGTAATTTAACTCTGGAAACCGCATGTGCTATGATGCTAGTTTGTTGAATACAAAATGGCTTAACAGATGATGCACTACTTCATGTACATGGCGGTTCGACTCAATGTAAATTCATGATAGATCATACCTGTTTCTGACAAAAATTATTTCATTTTCACACATCTTATGCTCAAATTGAACTGTCTCTTGCACTATCCTCTGAAGGTTCTGGTGGCAGAATCTCTGATGCTTCAACATCTCCTTGAAGCATCTCTACTACTCTGCTCATTGAGGGGCGATCACTTGGGCTCAGCTGAATGCAACTAAAAGCCACGGTAATCAATTTCTGTGCTATCTTCTTCTCTTCTTCTGTGGCATTGTTTTTAAGTATTGTTTCTTCGAACTGATCATGAACCCATTTTGCAAAGTAAGTCTGCCAAGAATTCTGCACAATATCATAGTTCTTTCTTCTTCCTGCCATTTCCATCAACATCATCCCAAAACTATAAACATCGGCCTTGTGTGAGATGCCTCCAATGTTTTTATATAACAATTCAGGAGCCATGTATCCCATTGTGCCTCTAGCTGCAGTTAGAGACACAATACTTTTATCTGCTGGATCTAATTTTGCCAATCCAAAGTCTGAGATCTTGGGAGCAAAATTCTCATCAAGAAGAATGTTGTGAGGCTTGATATCAAAGTTTAGGATTTGCTTGTCACAACCTTTATGCAGGTATTCAATTCCACGAGCCACCCCTAAAGAAATATCATTAATTTTCTCACAATTTATTGATAATTTTCCATGCTCAGAAAGTATGTATTTATCAAGAGATCCATTTGGCATGAACTCATAGACAAGAGCTTGCTTTCTTCTCTCTGCACAAAATCCTATCAATTGCACCACATTTAAATGACGAATAGTTCCAATGGTGGCAACTTCATTGATGAAATCATGTCCATCAGTTGTTGACTTTCCTAATAGCTTAACAGCCACTCCACGCTTGCTTTGAAGCTTTCCTTTATATACAGAACCATAGCCTCCTTCTCCTAACTTATGTTTGAAATTTTTTGTTATCCTTTTTATGTCAGAGTAAGAGTATTTGATGGGCACTAAATTGCTGTGACTTCGTAGGAAGTCTTCAATGTCGTCATACTCAGATAAATGCCTCCTTCTGATTTTATATATTAGAAACCCAACGGCAATGGGGAATCCCAGAACAAATTTTGCTGCAGACCAAAGGATAACTGCCAAAAAAAAAGGAAATTATAAAAGGAAAAAAAGGAAAGACAAATTAACAGAAAAGAATGAAGCAAAACAAAACTTCTGGAGAATTTCAATTCAATTCAATCAGTTTCACTTAGGCAAATGTCAGTGCTGTCCAATGTTTTCCCCTCCCAAACATTGAAAGGGGAATTTCTTATTGATGGAAGTAAATTTTTAAATAATGTAATGAAGGTTTAGGCGCTCACTGATCCCTAACTTGTTTTTATTTATTATTTTGCATTTGTTACTTTATAGTTGTCAGCGTCTGGTTGAGTAACTGTGTTCATCATAGTGGAAGTTATATCTTTGATACGGTTAGTGTTTCCTAAAGGAGTAATTCCCATCAATTTAAGTCTCTAGCAGTGCATTGACGGAAACTGAGCAGTCCCAGATGTTGAGTAGTGCTAACGACTCCTTCCCTATCTGGCACAAACTCAATGGAGATAATTATCTCCAATGGTTGCAAAGTGTGCTCATGTTTTTGAGGGGAAAGGGAAAGGAGAAATACTTGGTTGATGCTTCACAACCAATAGCAGACGACCCAAAGTTTTGAGTCAGGGTACACCAAAAATATCATGGTGATGACATGGCTGGTAAACTCCATGAGTGCAAACATAAGCTAGGAGTATTCACTTGTAAAGACAGCTAAGGAGATTTGGGATTCAGCCTGCGATACCTATTCAGCAATAGAGAATACAACTGCTCTATTTCAACTGAAAGGTATGATTAAAGACCTTAAACAGGGGGAGCAAAGGCTGCTAATCTATTATTCAATGTTGCAAAAAATTTTGTAGCAAATATGCACGGCTGATCATGTGATATGTAAGAAATTGGTGGACAGGGAACGACCTTATGACTTCTTGCTTGGTCTACACCCAAAGTTTGAAGACATTTGTGGAAGAATAATGGACTCTCAGCCTCTACCTATGCTTTGTGAGGCATTTCACGTGGTAAAGTTTGAAGATAGTGGAAATTACTTTACTCGGAGTGCTCTAAACTACTCTGAATCCTTGGCCTTAGCAGTATAAGGAGAAAATTCCGAAGGCAGAGGGAGAAGGCAAGGAAAGGGTTGGTGTGACCATTGTCGTAAAAATGGTCATACTTGAGATATTTGCTAGAAACTACATAGAAAGCCACAAAACAGCTGAGATAGGTCCAGACCAGATAGCAAGGGATATACTGTTGGTCAAGAAGGCATCAGATGCTGGTGAACCTACAGGGTTGAGTGCGTTAGAAGTTTGTAGTTTGAGGAAGCTACTTGAAAAATACAGCAGTGCCAATGCCATGCCTGAAAGAATGATAAATATGGGTAATCTGGCACAAATAGGCAAATATATTCAAGCACTCAAAGTTAGGGCTTTGAGACCCAATTCATGGGTTGTGGATTTGGGTGCAACAGATCATGTGACTTATAATTTATCTCTATTTAGTGAGATCAAACCCTATAGAGGAATTAACATTAAAGTTGATGATGGCACTCACACTAGAGCTTTAGGAATTGGCACTCTTCAGCTCGTTCCTATATTCTAATTGATGTACTTCATGCTTCTGATCTCAAATGCAATTTATTATCTATTACAAAGGTGACAAAAACCAGCAAGTGCGGTGTTAAATTATTGTATTTCAGGAATTGGGCTCGGGGAAGATGAGTGGCAATGCTGAGGAGTTTGAAGGGTTATATTACCTTGAAAGTCACTATGAACAGAGAGCAAAAATGGTTCTTTCTACAGGTATTTTGAATAAAGAGTTGATGTTGATGCAGTATAGAATAGGACATCTTAGCTTCAATTATATGTCAAAGTTGTTTCTAAGTTTATTAAATGAAAATATTCCTCTTCATTTTGATACTTGCCAATTATCAAAGCATGCTCACACATCTTACTCTCCGCGGCCACATAAACCCTCCTCAACCTTTTTCTTTGATTCACAGTGACAAATGGGGACCATCCAAAATGCTTTGTAATGTTTATTGACAATCATATATACCTGTTTGACTTGGATTCTTTTGATGCATGACAAATCTGACATGTTGCAAATATTTAAGCAATACCATCAAACCGCACAATATATTAGAGAAAATGGTATTATCCATCAAACCACCTGTGTTTACACACCACAACAGGACGACACTGCAAAAGGGAAGAATAGACAACTAGTTGAAATTACAAGAGACTTATTGGTGACATATAATGTTCCAAAGTTATTTTGGGGAGAAGCTGTTTTGACAGCAGCATATTTAGCTAATAGATTGCCTTCTAAAACCCTCAACTTTCAGTCTTCTTTGCAAGTTTTGACCCAAACCTGCCCAAATAACGATCTTATATCCTCTCTCCCATAGAAAGTGTTTGGGTGTGTTTCTTACGTCCATAATTACAATAGAACCAAACTAGATCCAAAGACCTTTAAGTGCATCTTTGTTGGATATTCTCATAACCAAAAAGGATATAGGTGCTACCCCCCTACATTGAGAAAAATGTTTGTCCCCCTTGATGTAACTTTTGTTGAGGATATTCCTTATTATTCTGAAAAATCAATTCAGGGGGAGAATCATGGGGAAGTTGATTTTTTAAGCATACCTACAGACCTGTGCCAGTCCAACAATTTCCGAATGAACTCCAACCAGATCTCTGACTCCACCATGAGGCTCAAACTATGCTGGAATCTACTTTATCTTTCTTGCCTACATCTGAAACTATACCTACAACTCTCTCACAAGCTATCCCTGCACCTGAATAAGATATTGTTGATCACAATAAAGAGGAATCAGAGGAGGAAAGCTAGTATGAGGAACAAGCTGAAGAAGATGAATCATATTCAAGGCAGCAACAGCAGATGGAAGGTAATATACCCCCAAAACACTCTGAGGCGAAGTCAGGAATCTGAACCAAGCCCGGTTGCTGGTGATTTGAGTTGGCCTATTGCTATTTGGAAGGGAGCACGTTCATGCACCAAGCATTCTATTGACAGGTTTGTTTCATACTGCAATTTGTCACCTAATTATAGATTATTTGCTACCAATATTGATCATGAGAGGTTGCCAACATCACATCAAGAAGCCATGTCAGATCCTAGATGGATGGAGACAATAAGTGATGAATTCAGGGTCCTTGAGAAATTGACTACTTTTCCCAAAGGGAAATCATTTGTAGGCTGCAGGTGGATATTCACTATAAAATATAACCCAGATGGCAGCATAAATAAATATAAAGCTTGTTTGGTAACAAGAGGATTCACTCAGATTTATGGTATAGATTATCAAGAAACATTTGTTCTAGTTGCAAAATTGAATGCCATAAGGGTACTACTTTCTATAGTAGCCAATCCTGATTGGCCTTTGTATCAACTTGATATCAAGAATGCATTTCTTGATGGATATGTGGAAGAAGTATATATGGATGTTCCCAAAGGGGCGAATTGTCCTAATACTACAAATGTAGTGTGTAGATTGTATAAGTTGTTGTATGGCTTAAAACAGTCTCCAAGAGCCTGGTTTGAAAGATTTACAAAGTGTGTGATAAAATTGGGTTTCTTGCAATGTCAAACTGACCATACCATGTTTGTTAAGCATGCAGGTAGTAAGATGACAGTATTAATCATATTTGTAGATGATATTATCCTAACAGGTGATGACAATGAAGGAATCCAAAATCTCAAGAAGATTCTAGTAAGGGAATGAAAGATTTGGGCCATTTGAAATACTTCCTAGTGATGGAAGTGGCAAGATCAACAAAGGGAGTGGTTGTATCATAGAAAAAATACGCCTTAGACTTACTACAGGAAACTAGGATGCTATGTGCCAAGCCATTAGGTACTCCTATGGATCTTGGTATCAAATGAGAAACCAAAGATGATGGTGTTGTAGTAGACAAAGAAAGATATCAGAGACGTGTAAGAAAACTGATATACCTCTCACATACAAGGCCACACATCAATTACCCTGTAAGGGTGGTGAGTCAATTTGCTAGTAGCCCATAAGAAGAACATCTCGAGACATTATGTGCAATTCTAAGATACGTGAAGATGAATCCTGTTAAAGGGAGTCTTTTTCAACGAGAGCAGCTCTAGAGGACTGGAAATCTATATAGATGCTAACTATAGTGGTTTCCTGGATGATGGATCTACCACAAGTTACTTTACTTATCTATAGGGAACCTTGTGACGTGGAGAAGCTAGAAACAACCTTTAGTTTCATGAAGTAGTGTAGAATTTGAATATAGAGCTGTAGCACTTAGTATATGTGAGGGAATATGGTTCCTTGGGGTACTCAAGGAAGTCAAACTTGAACTTCACCTTCCAATTCAAATGTGGAGTGATGGCAAGGCAGCAATAGTGTTGCAAATAATCCTATACATCATGACAAGACTAAATGTGTGGAGATAGATAGGCACTTTATAAAAGAAAAACTACAAGCAAGCATTGTGGCTTTGAACTATGTTCGTTCTAAGTCTTAAGTTGCTTATCTTATCAAGGTGCTTCCACACAAGAGATTTGATGTATTGAGTAGCTAGCAGGGAATGCTTTATATATATTCGCCAGCTTGAGGGGAGTGTTGGATGGCGTCTTGGGCACAAGTCCAACAAGCCCAATATTCAGATTTTTATTTAAACTATTTAAGTCCTATTTAGTTTTAAAATTTTTCTGTTATACCCCTAATTATATGGGATTATAAGAGATTAGATTGTTTTATCTTATCTTCTAGTCAATCTGTTTGATTGTTTTGGAGTTTCTGGAACTGGGATATATAGTTCTGTCTCGTACTCCTCAATTTGTGGAATAAATTTATGAAACCTACAAATTCCTTTTTGGAAGTGATAGACCGAAGCTTTACAGCTAAAGAAGAGATGATGGGGATTCTAAAACATCATGTACACTGTGAAGAAAGCTTAATGAGGCAAAGGGCTGACTTTCACTGAACAGATAGGGAGTATGCTGTGGGACAATGGGTTTTCCCAAAACTACAACTCTATAGACAATTTTATCAGCATCAAGGAGCTCTTAGAATTAGCTCCTAGATATCTTGGTCTCTACAAGGTGCTAGAAAGGATTGGGGCTGTAAAGCAAAGACACCATCCAGGCTAGAGCTAGAGCTACCACAAGAGACAAGGATCCACCTAACATTCCATGTTTCCATATTAAAACGGTGGCCAGACCCATTCTGTATAGCAAAGACGCGATCCAAAAGATTGGCCAGAACTTCCTACAAGTTCAGAACCTGAGAAAATTCTGAACAAGAGAATTGGCAAATGCAAAGGGCACATTATTACTGAAGCACTAGTGGAAGAGGTTACCAGATGTAGAAGCATCTTCTCTGTTTCAATTCCAACAAAAATTGCCTCACTTTCATCTCTGTTTTTTTTTTGGGTGGTTATTATTGTGTAATAGTAATTTTGTAAGTGACGGGAATATGAATTCTAAAGTTTGTTAGGATAATGATAAGAAAATGATCGTTAGAGTGGTTGAAAGGTATTGAGCCTATGAATAGGATACAAGCATATGTTGTGTTCAGATTCTGATTTGTAAATGTCAGTGAAGTAATTCAGTGCGCATTTCTCGGATTCTTTATTTCCTATTACCTTCCCCCCTTGATTCCTCTTGTTCTTCTCTCAATTCTCTCTCTCTCTCTCCCCTTCCCTCTCTTTCCTTCTCTCTCCTCTCAGAATTATAAAACATCATTCCCTATTAATATAGTTTTTAGTTTAAGTACCTTGATGTAGAGTTTGATGCCAGAAAAATACTTGTTTATTCACTGAGGTAAGCTTACACTTTATAGAGGCACAAACCCTTGCTCTCTATTAAATCTAGGATCTGGTCGAGGTACATAATCATTATAAAATCAAGATAAATCTAAACAAATCTCCTATGTTTAATGCTATGTACAGACGAAGTAGGCATAAAAAAGTAGTGTTTAAATCCCTAAACAGAAAGTGAGAGAGTAATAGAGGTATAAGCCCAGTGGGCGATCTTCAGCGTCAACACTTGAGTTGGGCTCTAGTAAAACCATAATTTACTTTTGAATGTTAAATGCAAGTGATGAATTACGTTCTTTAAGGAGCGCCTAATAGTATAAAATCTTGAATTGTCTGACATCAAACAATTTGGGATAGGTAAGAGGCCAGAAGAAAAACCAAAGGAATAGAGAGGTCTTACAGTGAGAAACAGCCAGAGACCCTGTTGATGATTGATAGTATGACAAGTGAAAAGCAAAATAGAAAATGATTAGATTATGTAATAGCTTCAAGGAAAAAGAAGAATTTCATTGTGTGTGTGTGTAACAATGATGTTTCTTATAGAATTTAAATTTATCTAAATTAAAAAAAAAATGAAATTTAGATGCTTACCAACATAGGAGACGACCATCCAAATATTTTCATCTGCATAATGTGGGCTCTGTAAGTGTACTCATAAATTAATGTCTAAAACTAATAACCATAACAGATTAAATGAAGTGAAAATTAATATACCTTTTCATGTAATGCTGCCCATAGTCACTCTTATTTATAAGATCAAGAAATGAAAAATGTATAGTGGACATGAGTAGCTAGCCAGCCTTGAATATTTCAGTTAAAACACTTTTTTTTTTTAACCAGTATTTCAGTTAAAACTTTGGTGCCAGTACAATTTCTTTAACTAGTTATAGCGACCACAATAGCAAACTCACCTTCCTTGATGGGCCCATCATTCTCCGACATGATGAAGCGATCAGTATCCACGCAGGGGATTGGTTGCCATCTGACTTGAAGCCCCTTCACCTCCTCAATCTGTTCTTTCGGATTCGAACATTTCTGATTGCATGTCCTGGGCCTTCGAGGCAGTACCCTCAGTGTGAAGTCAATGCTGCAAAATTCTGGCACCTGAAAAACGCTTGCATTTAATGCTAAAACATGTGAATAATGCCCTTCTTTTCTACATGGCTCCGCGTTGACCTGGTACTGAATAGAAGAGATTGGATTTTCACAGTTGAGGTGTATGATTCCTTTCCTTTTCGGATAATAACCATAATGATAATAATAAAACAAGTAATCATAGTCAAAATAATAATAAGGATTATAATAACGATAGTATTCAATCTCTTCTTTTGTTTCTTCCTGGTCAACTTGTTGGCTGATATTGTTGTATGTGAAGGAAGGAAAAGTGAGGATGGTGGAGCAATTATTGCTGTTGGATCCAACGCTGACAGCTTGAAGAGTGGAATTAGCTGTAAAGAGGGCTTGCAAACGGGGTGTACCATAGTATATGTAAATTACTGTCTGGTTGTTTTCGCATGTCAATTTGTAATGACTGCTATTATCTTCAGGGTATTCATGGCGATGCAGCGTGGGATATTAGATGTTGCTGTGCAATACACCTGCGATGTCGTAAAGTACACTTGGGTAACTGAAGAGAAACATAGTGGTCACAATGAACCCAAGGATGAACAAGACTTGCGGTAACATTATTGAATGGGATCGGTATGATGATTATGTTGTTATGCTAAAGAAAGTGATTGTGGAATGTGGAGTGAGTGTTTGAAGCCAAGATGATGATTCTCAACACACTATAGTGTCCGATTGGTTTGTTCAACAGAGAATGTTGGCTGTCGATGTGGTGGCTGGTGAGCTTTTGCTTTTGTCAATGCCTGTGATTTTCCTGGAAACTTCCCCATGTAATTTGCCTATAACAATTGTCATCATTAATTGGCAGGGGTGGAATGGTCTATTAGATGGTGGATAAAGTTACTATATTGGATTCTAATGAACTTTTGCCGTTATTTTACCTTTTGTATAATGTTCTTTTCTGGTCTCTTGAAGGAGGATAGCGTGTTTGGAAGGCTAGCATTGAGCCTTTCGCTTTTCTTCTCTGCTTCTCCACTTAACGTCTGTATATTAATTATTGGTATAATATTGAACACAGAGAGACCCCAGAAAGAAACTTGCAATAGATTCACAAGATATACACCATGCTGTGTAAACAAAACACTTTCTAGTAAAAAAGGTTAAAAAAGTGGGAACTGAATATAATAAAATAATTCATCAAGATAATGTTTCGGAGCCAACACTAATACAGTACGAAATACAGGTCTTGAGAATTTGTCCAAGTCAATGCCGCATCAGCCTTTGGCCAAAAAAAAAAAAATTCCATATCAGACGGCTTGACTTAAAGACATCAATTATTGGTGCCTTTAGAATCAACAATGAGTCCCACTCGACCACTACCGCCAAGCAATTGCTGAATTGCATGTTGACTTATTGTATAAAGGAAGAAAATGAAAGGTTTGAAAATTGGTTTCATTCATTGAGGAAGGAACTCTCCCATTCATTCCATCATTTTTCCGGGAAATTTCCTGCAAATAGCATCGAAGGGACCTCCAAATCTCCAGGAGGGGGGCGTGATTGCTTTCCCTTTCTATAGTGTTCAAACTTGCACATAACTGCATGTTTGGTTTCAAGTATAAGCTTTATACGCAACGATTTTTCTGAAGAACAAAAGATAAATGAAACAGCACTTGCATGTCAAGCATGGCCGATTGGCCATCCTGTTCTTATTCCTCTGTTTCTTTCCAACTATTTTTGCAGAACCTGTTCTCCATGATCCATGCATACAATCAAGGTGTAGTGTTTATGGACCAGAGATTCGATTCCCCTTTAGACTCAAAGGAAAACAGCCAGAAGCGTGTGGCTATGGTTCTGGCTTTGATGTATACTGTACTGAAACAAACAAGACAGTGCTCGAGCTGCCTTCCTCTGTCAAGGTTTTCGTCCAAGGCATAGACTATAAATCACAGTTCTTAACTGTATCTGATCCTGATGGATGCCTTGCTCATCTCACTTTATATGCGTCTCCTTTTCGGTCAACTTACAATTATGGATCAGGTGGATATGCATTATTCAACTGTTCAGGGACGTCTCGTAGAAATTCAGAATTTCGACAATGGGGGGACTTTTCTTGCGTCGATGTTCCTGGCTATGAAGTTTTAGCTATACCGTACACAGAGAGAATCATGGACAACCCTCTGTTATCATGCATGAGAATTCCTAGTTACACATCAGTGCCTGAGTCATTTATTTACAGTGACCATACAATAAGTCTATCTTGGCCCAAACCGGATTGCAGAAACTGTGAAGAAAATGGAGGGCAGTGTAAATTGAGAGAAGACAAAGTTGAACGTGAACCTGAATGTATCAAAAGCCCTCGTAAAGGTATAATTTTTCCTCCAATCATAATAACTTCATGAATTGTGAGTTTAAAATCTATGCATAGCTGATATGAAGTTCATTTACTTTTTCAGGTCCACCAAAAAAGATAGAACTTGCTGGTAAATATTCTTCAGCAAACGATTTATTTCGCACATTGAAGATAAAAGATCCACAATATCAATTTTAATAATACTGTATATGTTGGTGTATTTGTAGGTGAAATCCTAGGCCCGTTTCTGCTCATATTTGTTGGAGTTATTATTTATTGGGTCTATGCAGCTAGCCTCGAGAGGCAAGGTTACAAGAAAATTAGGCAGTTTTTGGAGGATTACAAAGCACTGAGGCCAGCTCGGTACTCCTATGCAGATATAAAGCGAATCACAAATCAATTCAAGGATGAACTTGGACAAGGAGCTTATGGAACTGTCTATGAAGGGAAGCTATCTAATGAAATTCTGGTTGCTGTTAAGCTGCTAAACACTTCAACAGGGAATGGACGAGAGTTCATCAATGAAATGGAAACAATGTGTCAAATTCACCATGTCAATGTTGCTCGCTTGGTTGGCTACTGTGCAGATGGATTCAAACGAGCTCTGGTTTATGAATTCTTACCTAATGGTTCATTGCAGAAATTCATAACTTCAGCTGACAGAAAGGACCTTTTTCTGGGTTGGGCAAAGCTTCATGATATTGCTCTTGGCATAGCCAAAGGAATTGAGTATCTTCATGAAGATTGTGACAAACGAATTCTTCACTTTGATATCAAACCACACAACATTCTTCTAGATGATAAGTTCACGCCTAAAATATCTGATTTTGGTTTGGCCAAACTGTGTTCGAAGGATCAAAGCATTGTGTCAATGACAACAGCTAGGGGAACTTTGGGCTACATTGCACCAGAGATATTTTCTCGAAATTTTGGCAATGTATCCTATAAATCAGATGTTTATAGTTATGGAATGTTGCTTCTTGAAATGGTTGGAGGGAGAAAAATCACAGATGTCACAGCAGAAAATACCGAACAAGTTTACTACCCACAATGGATTTACAATCTTCTAGAGAACAATGAAGACATACAAATCCATATAGAGGAAGAGGAGGACACTAAAATTGCAAGAAAACTATCTATTATCGGACTTTGGTGCATTCAATGGCATCCAGCAAATCGTCCAACCATGAAAAATGTGGTTCAAATGTTGGAAGGAGATGATGAAAAGCTAATTTTGCCTCCTAATCCTTTTGGGTCTGCACATGCAACCAGAACAAGCATTGTTAATGGAGCAAGGAGATTGAAACCAGAGTTATCTGTCATTTCTGAAATAGAGTGAAGTTGAGATAGTTGATGTATACTCTAACTATTTGTGTATTGTTTTTCTTACTTTCTTGTATAATGAGCTAGGTAAAATGTAAGTCTGAGTTTAGATTTGTTGCCAGTCTTTTGCTTTTTGTTGATACAAGGTTCAAAATATGATCATACCCAGTTAGACATGGAAAATATTCTACGAGGTTATAAATTATAATAAAGTCTCCATGTTGTTCCCAGAGTTTGTAAACAGTCTTAAAAAAAAAAAAGCAAATTCCAGTACAGTATTTACAAGCCAAATGGTTCACAAAAGCTGCATCATAATTTATCATCTTTAAAGAAATACATGATCCTTTTGTATGAAACGGAACTTAAAAGGACTGCAAACTATATGCATATATGTGAATGGCTTCTCTATTTTGATTAATGATTTAAAAACCGAATTAAATTGGACTGTCAAATTAGTTGGACCGCCTATTAGAGCTGTTAATAGCTCGGTTTGAACCAAAAGACCATTTTCATGATTGAGTTAGATTGGACTGGAGTTAAACCACTATTAAGCCAAAAATTAGAGTTGAATCGAGAACTAGAGTGGTTTTCAGAAAACTGAACAGTTTTAAACATAATATTAAAAAAGCTTAAAAATTTTAAAAAAACTAAAAAAAATCAAAAATTAGATCCTACTATAAATGAGCTTTATTTTTGGGTAATTCATATGTATAAAATATGATTTGAAGCCATTTTTTTATAAAGATGTTGATAATTGTTGGTGTAAATATAGATACTTTTGAGTCAACTTATATCTAATTTAACCAAAATCTTCCTATATTTAACAAATTATAAAATTATAATTTACAATGTCATTAAGTTATAGTTATGTTATGTCATTTTATTAATAGATTTTTCCTTATATTTATTATATACAATATTATTTTTATTTAATTATCACATCATCAATCCAACCATTGGTTTAACTATTTAAACCATAAAAATTGAGAATCGTTGGCTTTTTGGTTTAATGCCTAGTCTGGCTTTTAAAACATTCACTTAGAAGATAAAGATTCAGAATTGAAACATTAAAGAAAAAATGATAAATAAGTACAGATTTAAAGCATACTATTATTTTAAAAAAATAAAAATACTCATAGCCCGTCATGATATCCCTTTCTAGGTTATACAAAATGAAAATAAAAAGATAAATCATTGACTCTTAATCAACTATAATTGATGAAATTTATCTCTACTGACTTCAATATTGATGACACTTTTTCACAAGGGATATAAGGAAAAATTTTTTTTGAAGTTTCTAGGAAGAGGTTTGTATTTTTTTGGTCAAAAGAAAAGGAGCCATTAATTAAAGCAATTCTACCATATACATTGACAAAAGGAAAAACTACATTGAAATGGGACACTATGTAGTGTGTGTGTGCGTAATTATTTTCTTGGAGGTCAATTTTTTGCTCAAGGCTCTATATATTAACATTTTTTCATCGAGGGTTGATCATTTGTGTGCAACGGGAATCTATTATAGTATTCTTCGTGATTTTCCATTCTTGATATATATTATTATTACTCTCATCTATAATCCTAAAACTAAAACCATCAGCTTTTGACTTTTTAATTTTTTTATATTTTTTATTATAAAAATCTTGACAGAACTTCAAAAGCGCAAGACATAAAATAAAAACGTAAATGAGATTTTTTTTTATTTTTACTTTTTGTGAATTTTATAAGAATTACATTTGAAAATTAAAAAAGATAAAAGATACGGTCAATTGAAGTTTAATTTTGTGAAGTGGCCTATTTTGAATTTGTTTTGATTTTTTCCTGAATTGTACAAAAAATTTATATTAAAAGTAAAAAAAAAAAGACTTTTGAAATTTCCACCTTAACTCAATACATTATCCTGGCCTTGACTAAGATGTATTTTGGATTATTGTGATTCATTGATAATTAAAGAAATCAATAATGGTTGAGTTGAATCAATTCCTCGCACCAACCCACCTCCACCACCCATTAATGAATGGCACAAGAATTTTCAACGGAAATGGAGATAATAATGATAATATGAGGATTTTGATAAAATATAATATAAATTAACTAAAAAGTTAAGAACAAATAAATTGAATTTACATAATTCAATAAATATTAAATATAAGAAAACTACATTTACATTGCTTCTATTTATTTATTATTAAATATATTAAAATGAAAAATAATTAGACCGCTATAATTTTTTTTAGCTAGGTTATATTATTATATATCGTTGAAAATCGATTTGACGTATAATGGACAATGGCTAGGGTGGAACCATAAGAAGATGAAACAAAAAAGCCAAATAACTGAATTTAAGTCAACTGCAATTGATGTGCTTTAATATCATTGAGTTCATTGAGAACAAATTTTGAACAAAGTGACAAGGGAAATACCCATGAAGTTTCCAGGAAAAGAGAGACATTAATTAGAGAAACCGACTATATTGGCAAGATTCTAAACATTAAACAAGACAGCATTTTACCATTATGCAAAATAATAATGTTTGTGGGTACATTAATTAGACACATCGTAGACACTTGCTTGGATATTCAGAATCTGGCAATTGCTTGGATATTCAGAATCTGGCAATGCAATGAGTTTCATCATAAAAGAAGATTGGCTTTTAGTAATTAAGTTAAATATTTCTATTTTCTAGACACCAAATAATACATGAAATTATTAGCTACCATATTTGTCAAGAATGAGTAAACTTAAAAGTCAATATAAGAAATCTCATATTAAATAAAATTAAACTTAATAACTAATATGCTCTTCAGTCCTTGATATAAAGCAGTTAACAAACTTCACATTTATTAAAAAAACAGGTAGTTATATCCTTGATATGGTAGTTTTTAAAAAATAAATAATTGTGAAATTAGAAAAAATATTAATTATTCTAACTTTGACTTATATTAAAATCTGAATTTTTTCTAAAAAATTGTCTTATATTAAGGCTGCAGGGAGTATATTATAAAATGGAAGAATTCATAAATTTAAATATTGAGGTTTTAAATTAAAAAGAGATGTCTTTATGCTATTATTCACCTATTTATTCATGAGATTCTGGGTGTGATGTATACATTTTTTTTTTCCCGGTTACTTTTCGTCTAGAATTTCAATACATGTTAAGATTCACTACATGTTAGGCATGACCAAATGACAATAATCATGCCAAATGATCAAAATACTAAAGAAGCATTGAATACACACTAGCTATTTTACTATTATTGATGATTTACCACAACATGCTTTCTAGGAATCCCTTTCCCATGGATCACTACTAATTAATCAATCCTAGGAGGAGTTTCCACGCAAAGGATAGAAAATAAATCGTATTATGAAATTTGGAGTTTATTAGTTATATCTTCCGTAACACTTTTTTTTGGGGGGAGGGGGGGAGACCTATTAGATTAATTATATTAACGTGAGCGTTATATACTTAAACTATAAATTAGAATTATGCCAAACAATCCAAATTGTTTTCAAAATCCATAACTACAGAGAAATCTTACTGGATGACTATGTTATTCTTCTAAAAGCCTATAGTCCGGTGAATCAAAATGCCAAGAAAACATTGAACATGCAAACAATTATAGCAGTTTTACATGTTTATTGCAAATAATAACTCTTTCTAAACTCAAATTGTCATGAGAATTGTATCCTCTTTCATAACCCTTCTTGCCAATCAAGTTACAAAAATTACAAAAATTTAGGGTGGTAGAGCTTCTTGGAGTTCAGTTTCTCCTACAAGCATGTCTATCACTTTCTTCATTGAGGGTCGATCACTAGGGTACATCTGTATGCAATGTGAAGCTACAGTAATCATCTTCTTTGCAATTTTCCTTTCCTCATTACTGGAATTACCCTCATCTATTGATTCCTCAAACTGGTCATAGACCCATTTGGCAAAATATGTTTGCCAAGAATGTTCAATGACATTCATGTTCTTTCTTCTCCCTGCCATTTCCATCAGCAACATCCCAAAACTATAAACATCAGCTTTGGGTGATATTCCTCCAATGTTCTTGTACAAAAAATTCAGGCGCCATGTATCCAATGTTCCCCTTGCATTTGTTAGAGATATAATACTATTATCTAATGGATACAATTTTGCCAATCCAAAATCTGAAACTTTTGGATTAAAGTTCTCATCAAGAAGGATATTGTGAGGTTTGATATCAAAGTGTAGAATTTGCATGTCACATCCTTGATGTAAATAGTCAATTCCTCGAGCAATCCCGAGAGAAATATTAAATATTTTCTCAAAGATGATGGACACGTTCCCTTGTTTCTCCGAGAATATGTAATTGTCAAGAGACCCATTAGACATAAACTCATAAACAAGAGCTCGCTTATTTCTTTCAGCACAGAATCCAATCAGCTGCACCACATTGACATGATGAATCCTACCTATAGTGGCAACTTCGCTGATGAAATCTTGTGCATCACTGGCTTTGGACTTTCCCAGTAACTTGACAGCTACATCGCGATTGCTTCGAAGCTTACCTTTATAGACATAACCATAGCCTCCTTCACCTAACTTGTGTTTGAAGCCGTTGGTCATTCTCTTGATCTCTGAGTAAGAGTATTTGATGGGCATCAGGTTACTATTATTTTGGAGGAAGTCCTCAACATTGTCGTCATAAGATTGATGCCTTCTTCTCCATCGACAAATCAAGAATATAAAAGCACAGGGGGCACCCAGTACAAATTTAGCCACAGACCACAAAACCACTGTGCAAAAGATTCGATTGTTAGTGTTAAATCAATTCTTGCCATATGATTAGATTTATATGATCAGATCTGAGTTCAACACAAGGAACCAAGCTAATTTTTTGTTTGTCAAAAGATATATTCTATATATTAAGGCATATGTAGTTCTGATGACTCATTGAAAATTCCAAGTAAACAAAAAATAGGACAGTCATTCGTGCTCAAGGACTGACAAATATTAAAGTTAAGGACCAAAACAAATTGTTGAGTCCTGAATTTTTTGGTAACTAAAATTACATTTCCTCAGCATTAACTTTTAAAATTCTTTAGTCCACGGTATTTAAGAGTTTTTAACCCTATACATCAAGCTTCCTGGGGTTATGGACTGAATATCCTATCACAATTGAACAGATCAGGGAAGTTTAGCAAATTGATAGAATTGTTGATGGAAAGGTAAAGTTACAAATTTGTCCATTTAAATTCGACAAGTTCTCCATATATCCAAGTCCACAAAAGGAGTCGTCAGTTCTAAATTCACTAAGTAGAGAATAAAAGAATTTCATGGATGCACATATTTCTATTTGTTTATAGCTATAGGTGTTGGAATCACACTAATAAGTATAAGAAATTAATAAAGCACCAACAATGAAATTGAAGGGCTAAAAAATTTTCGAACAAGGAGAAACTTTGCTTCGCTCACCTGTATAAACAGCGCCACTAGTCAAATCTGCGTTGTCAAAATTCAAAACATAAAGAAGTTTCTGTTAGATTCCTATCAGGATAATCTTTTTATTTTTATTTTTGGCGTAATATTTCTTTTATTTTATTTTATTTTATTTGCTTTTAGAAGAAAAGTACCACCCAAAGCCCTCCTGGCCTAGCGGCAGCCAAGTCACCCTGAGATAAGAGAGGCAGCAGGTTCGAACTGGTGGTGTGTATGGGGGAGCTTTCCTTTGGGAAAGTGTGGTGTCTGAGTGAAAAAAGGGGGGGGGGGGGGGGCTTGGAAAGGAGAAAAAAAAAAAGGGTTACCGTGATCGTGATTACTTTCAAGCACTTGAGGAAGAGGATCTAAATCATAAAAACGACAAAGAACCATTTTTTTGCTTTGTCAAACCGACAGTACTTGGATTTCCTTCCTTCGAACTCTCCACAACGATTTGGTCGCCATTTGATCTCAATCCCTTTAACCTCTTGGCTCTGAACTTGTGGATATGAACAATTCTCATTGCATGTCATCGGTCCCCAAGGCATCACCTTCACCGTAAAATCTATCTTGCACGACTCTTCCACATCAGATATTCTGTTTTGACCATACCCTGACAGCACATAAGAATAATGCGTTTTTGGCTCTTCACTTGTACAAGGCGCCACAATATCAGTATACAGATGAGAGAGATCTGGGTTTTCGCAGCTGAGAAACACTAATTCTCCCATATGATAATGGTAACCTTTGTGGTGTATCTGTCTTTTCTTGGTTGGGAAAACGTGGCTGGATTTGTCATATGTGAGAGAATGACGAGTGATTGCATAGCAGTTGTCGTCGTCAACTTCACCGGTGATGGATTGGAGGGTGGTGGAGTTAATGGCATGAATGGTCTGCACTAAGTGCCTCCCATAGTTTAAATACAACACACTTTTGTTGTTCTCACAGACTAGCTCGTAAGTCGGATCGTTGCAGAGGCTGTTGCTATAGAATGTATCTGTAGAATCATTGAATACAAGTCCACATGAATCAGTATATAGATCGCTTAAGTAATAAGACGGTCCTCCAAGAAGACAATATAGGAAAACTAGACCAAGGGCAAGGAAGATGATTATGGTTGCGTATATCATTGTGAAGTATCAGAAAGGTAGAAGCAAGTCTGCAAACCGAGGTGATGGTTCTCAAAGTCGGTACTGAATAAATTTATGAAACCTCCTTGAGTCTCTCAGTTTGTTTGAAGCTTCACCACCTAGAGATCCATGCCTACAACATCAAGTAATCAAATAATTAGTACTCCTTCCATTATTTGTAGGAGAAAAAAATGTATTACATAGTTTAAGAAAATCAGTTAATTATATTAATTATTGTGTTTGAAAATAAAAAAATTAGACTAAAATACCCTTTATTAATTATGTTAATTAAGTCTTCATTAATTATTTTTTATGACTGTAGATGATGAAATTATGAGGGTAATTTAGAACATTTGTAATAAATACTTATTGAAAAATATAATTTTGCTTATATAAAAAAACAAACTACTCACATTTGTTTACTAGAATAAAATGAAATGGAATAGAATGAAATGGATTGAAAAATAAAGATAAAAATAAGATGATCAAAGGGGATAGGTGGGTATATTTATAAAGAGGAAGAGTAATTTATTTCATAAGGTTGGGAATCTTGATTCATGAAATTTTTGAAGATTGTAATAATTCTCGCATATATTAATGAATTTTATAATGCTTATCATAGGAGAAGGATGATTTAATTCATTTTTATCTTGATTTTTTTAATCCATACCATTTTATTTTATTTTAATAAACAAACGTGACTTAAAAGTAATAGTTTCTTTTATAAATAAAAAAGGTGAGAGTATATTGACCCTCCCCCAACCTTTTCAGGTCTTCATGATAATTTCTTGGAAAATACTCCTAGAAGTTTCTTGGAAAAGAGAGGCATAAAAAAACGACCTCACTTCACAAAATTACAAATATTGACTGACGGTTTGCGAATAAATATATAATCGAAGAGTAATACCACACGTCTCTAAGAAATTAGCGAGAAATTCACGCACCAGTTTTCTAAAACACTCCTTCCCCTCTTCGCACAAAATTACAAATATTGACTGACGGTTTGTGAATAAGCATATAATCGAAGAAGTAATACCACATGTCTCTAAGAAATTAGCGAGAAATTCACCTACCAATTCCCTGAAACATTCCTTCCCCTCTTTGTTATAAGTTTAAAAAAATTCTAATTTTGCCTCTATTTTGGATGGAGAAACACAAAATTCGAGAAATCATATAAAAACGCTAAATTAGAATTAAAATATCCTTTTTAATAATTTAAAATAGAGGTATATAATATTAGAAAATGTTAATTAATAACTCTCTTTGTGATTATATTAAAGGCCAAGAAATCTTTCTAGAAGGAAATATATAATAGGGATGTCAGAGGGAGTATACTCCCTAGAGTTAATTATAGAAAAAAGTTAACTAATTTTATGGTTTTCAAAGTGGTAGATAATATACCTTAAACTTATAAAAAAAAGTCTGACTTTCAAATTTTGTCTTAATTGAAATTAATATCTCTAATAAAATGTTATATAAAAATCAAAAGCATGCTAACAATTTGACGCAATTAAGCAGGAGTGTGGTTAAAAAAAAAATTGACTACAATATTTTTGGTCCTATTTACAGTCAAGTATAGCTTTAAAACCTTATCCTATTTATTAAAAAAAGTTATCCTATATATAATTAGGATTGCGAAGAGTAAATGATAAATAAAGTGAGAGAGATAGGGAGACAAAGACAGGCTCAATACTATCATTCTACTTATGAGACTTCACTCACACATGTCCCTTGAGAATCGATAATTAAAGGAATCGATAATTGAGTTGAGTCAATTCCTTGCACCAACCCATCCCCGTCACCCATTAATGAATGGCACAAGAATTTTCAACGTAAATGGAAATAATAATGATAATATGAGGATTTGATAAAAATATAATATAAATTGACTAAAAAGTTAAAAACAAATAAATAGAATTTACATAATTCAACAAATATTAAATATAAGAAAACTACATTTACAACTGTTTCTATTTATTTACCATTAAATATATTAAAATGAAAAATAATTATACTGCTATAATTTTTTTAGCTAGATTATATTATTATATATTGATAAAAAATGGATTTGACGTACAATAGACAATAGTTAGGATGGAACCATAAGAAGAGGAAAATAAAAAAAGCCAAATCATTGACTTCTAGTCAATCGCAATTGATGTGCTTTAATATCATTAAATTCATTGTTGAGGACAAATTTTCAACAAAGTGATGCCCACGAAGTTTCCCGGAAAAGAGAGACGTTAATTAGAGCAAACCAGTATATTGGCAAGATTCTAAACATTAAACAAGACAGTATTTTATGATTATGCAAAAAATAAATAAATAAATAAATAATGTTTGTGGGTCAAATTAGTAGACACTTGCTTTAGATATTCAGAATTTGGCACGTACGATCTCATCAACCATTCCAACCCCACCAATCAATGCAATGAATTTCATACTAGAAGAAGATGAGTTCGTAGCAATTAAGTTAAATATTTCAATTTTTTAGACGCCAAATAATATATGAAATTACTAGCTACGACATTTATCAAAGAATGAGTGGACTTAAAAGTCAATAAGAAATCTTATATTAAATAAAATAAATTTTAATAATTAATATTCTTTTTCATCCTTCATACAAAGCAATTAACAAACTTCATACTTATTAAAAAAAATGGCAGTTATATTCTTAATATGGTAGCTTTTCAAAAATAAATAAGGGTAAAATTAGAAAAATATTAATTACTGTAACTTTAACTTATATTTAAAAACAAAAAAAAATTAAAATTTTTCTTATATTAAGGACCGCAAGGAGTATACAATAAAATGGAAGAATTTATAAATTTCAATATTGAGGTTTTAAATAAGATAACAAGGTATTTTCCACTACTATTTGCCGATTTATTCTTGAGATTCTAAGTGTAATGTATACTTTTTTTTTTTTGGCTACTTTTTGTCTTGAATTTGATATACATGTGAGGATTCATGACATGTTAAGCATGACCCAAATGGCAATAATCATGGTAAATGATCAAAATACTAGAGAAGCATTGACTACACAAAAGCTATTTTACTATTATTAATGATTTACAACAACATTCTTTCTTGGAATCCCTTTTCAATTGATAGAAGGATCCCATCAACCATTCCAGCACTACCAATTAATCAAGGGAGAGTGATAGAAAGATCCTAAAAGGACCAATTAATTCAAGTTCAGTTCCAAGTATCAAATTTTAAAAATTTAATTTGCAATTTAATCTCTCAATTTTATAACTCTATTATGATGAATTTGCAACTTGTATCCGAAATTTTAATAGAAAAAATAAATTTTTTTATATTTCAACCATGTTAAAATTTAAAAAATATGTTGCAAATTCATCACAATATAGTTGCAAAATTGATAGACTGAGTTGCAAGTTTTTGTAGTTTAGCACTTGGACTTAAATTAATCAATCCTTTTGGGACAGCTTTGTCATTCTCCCATTAATCAATCCATGTAGGAGTTTCCATGCAAAGGATATAAAATAAATCGTAGTATGAAATATAATATGGAGCTCAGTTCTATCTTTTGTAACTCCTTGTTTTTGGAAGACCTATTGGATTAATTATATCAACATATACATGAACTATCAATTAGAATTATGTCATCAAACAATGCAATTGATTTTCAAATCCATAACTAGTGAGAAATCTTACTGGATGTCTATGTTATTCTTCTAAAAGCCTATAGTACAGTAAATCAAAATGCTAAGAAAGCATTGAACATGCTAACAATTATACTAGTTTTACAAGTTTGTAGTTTATTGCAAATAACTAATTGTGAACTCAATTGTCATGAGTACTAACATCCTCTTTCATAACCTTAAGGGATGTCATACAAGATATATACAGATCTGGATTGAGGCTGATTGGCCGTCCTATATTCTCTAAGCCATACCCTGAACATAGACTAACCCTTATCCTTAGGGCTATAGAATCCCAAATTTCACTTTGTTATTAGGAGATGCACATAGTCAACATTCAAACATATTGGTAGATTTACCATCCAATGTGGAGAAATTGTCAATTGTGACAACTTCGCCAACTTGAAAATGAGATTATTTCTAAACTCCCTCACAGGTCCATTATTCACTTAGTACACTTCGTTGCCTCGTAACTCGGTGCTCAGTTGGCTTGAAATGGAACACAAATTCCACATGCAGTTCTATAAGGCAAAACCTAAAGTAAGTATTGCAAAGCTCTGTAAACTTACTCAACAGGACAAAGAGGCAGCAAATCAATATCTTGTAAGGTTTAAAAGACTAAGGAGCAAGTGTAATGTACTGCTTCCAAAGGCTAAATTTGTCAAACTGGCCTAGGCATGACTTGATATAGAGCTAAGAAAAAAGTTTCAAGGGATAGAGTTTAGAAACTTTTATAAACTCGCAATCAAGGTTTGTGAATATGAGGAATTATTGAAGGAAAAAGATCACCATCGATGGATGAACACGAGCACATACTTTAGTGAGCTTGATGTGACTGTAGCAGAACTAAAAAACATAAGGGACTATACTTTCCAAGCCTTAGTAAGGAAGGCTGTTGAAACCTTGAAAAAACCTAATGCAGTACAGCACACATTTAATACCTCAAAGATTGAAAAAATATTTGATTTCTTACTCAAAGAAAAGTTCATCTTATTACCTGTGGATCATAAAATTCCTTCTAAAGAAGAACGCAAAGGAAAGGAATACTATAAATATTGCCATTCATGAAGCCACAGTACTAATATATGTTGGGCATTTAAGAATGTCATGTAGGACTGGATAAATAAAGGTGTGCTAAAATTTCCAAGAAAAGAAGAATCTATGGTAGTAGACACGGACCTATTCCCGCCATTTGCCATTGTCAATATGGTAGAGATAGACTTCAATAAAAAAACCAAAAAAATATAATTGTAGGAGAAGAAAATAAGGGAATGAACAGCCTTGGAATGTTTAGATCAAAGATAAAATGAGGCAAAAAATGATCGTAGGTGAAGAAAACAAAGGAATCAATTGCCTTGGAACATTTGGATCAAAGATAAAACAAGACCAAAAAAAATGAAAACAATATGGGACCACCTAAGAGAACTTTCAGGCAAGTCAAATCGCGATGACAAGTGTATAGTCC